ATTTTTATTTGATTTTATGTGGATAGAATTATTAACCCTTTAATACATTGTATGATGTGTTTGTCTTATACAAAAATAACTTAAAAGAGTGACGGCGTGATATTACAAAACGGCTAATTATAAACAATAATATGAGAAATTATGTTGCTATGGTGTATCTATCACTCACCAAAATATATATGACCACATAACAAACACAATAGCAACGAAAAGGAAAATATGAAAACAGTACAGTTTATAAAAATAAAAATATAATATCAGTAAAATGCTCATATAAAAATTTTTAAAACCACTTTTTTAAGGACCGCAACGTACATCGTTTTCAAATTCACAGAGCACTATTATATCGTGTTGTCAAATGAGAGAACTGAACACCAAAATCACATGACAATTTTACGCCAAACACCAAGAATATCAGACGGTGTACGACGACAGGACTGGTCGGAGGTGAGTAGCGCGTGTTATTGCGGCCTGTGCTCACATCCTTATCCGACGTTGTACGGTGATTTCTGTGCACCTGCAAAATGTTCAAATTTTCTGTTTTATTAGATAAAAATTTAATTATTATATATATTATATAAATTAGCGAGAAAAGGTTTTGAATTGTCGACTTTATTTTATACGGTGTTCCATTTTATATTTTATATATAAGCTCAGTTAAAATATGTTTAGACTATACAGCACCGTTATAAATTATAATAAGACATGTTATATCTATTGTAATATTTAATTTGATATTAACATTGTAATATTATATTGAAACAATCCAAGTTGATTATTTATATTAAAGCAGTTGTAATATAATAATAGGTAAATAGGAACACTTATCAAATTTTTATCAAAGCGCTAAATAAATACCAAATTGAGCTCCTAATTTCTGTTGAATTTTCCTCGGAAATTGTAGCTATTTCAGCATACATTTTGGCGGTTCTATATAGACCTGCGCAATAGTTATTCATTAAACTCGATAGTCGATTGTGTCAAAATAATCGATTATTGCGATTAATCGATATATTTTGAAGAAGCAATTTATACACTCACGATATGTATTCGCCATGTTCGATAGTCAATTAAATTGAGCTCTACTATTTGATTCCGATATATACGATTAAACAGTTAAAAAAGTAGGAAAAATGTTTAGTGTTGCTGTCCATACTGTTGGCCAACATAAACCTATATTAAGGTTTTTATATTTTAAATATTTTTTTATACAGTTTTAGAATGACGTCATATGTTCTCCTATGCGTTTTATGTTTACAATTTTTAATACCTAATTATTTAGTTTTCAAAGAATGTTACATTCAAATCATATCGGTTTTTTACCGGCTCACGGGTGTTTTTAAACCGTATCGTTTAAAAAATTCTCATATTCCGCGTAATCGAAACTTCAAATCACCAGCCATAATATTATGATTATTTCTTATACGTATTCACTATGTGTAAATTACACAGACAAACTAGTTTGCCGATATTGATGCATTTTTATCGCGTGGGTTCAACTGCTAAAGCAAATTGAATTTATTTCTTCGAAGTTACGGTTTTTTTGTCAGTTCAATCAATAATTATATTATAATTTTTTATTTTATTTATATTTTGCGTCATTTCGTTCTAGTGCGTGCTTTTATACAGTTAAGATCAGATCAGCACAGCGGATTTGAGCCTGAGAGACGACAGCGTAAACGTTTTTCTCTAGAATTTTTTTACTCGTGTTCTACATGCCGGTTATCTTTGTCCCGTCACACTTCTCACACTGTTAATGTGTAGCTTCACTTAAAAAAAAAAAAAATCCTCATATTTTCTCTTCTGCTTTATAAAAGAGCTTCTGCAGAACCACTGTATTAATAATAATAATAATATTTATTTTACGTCCTGAATGTAAAAGTATAATATTTTTCTTTTTCAAATTGTAACAAATATAAATTAGTGTTGCGTAAGTGCATAATACATCACATATGTTAACATTATTACACAATAAATAATAAAAAAAGAAGAAAAACGAACGCGATAAAGAATTAAATACTTACTCGTATAATATTATAGTTCAAGTGTATAGATATTTTTAGTTTAATTTTAGAGTAACACAAAAAAAAATTATTAATGATAGAATCGCATTCATAAGCGTACACGATTATAAGAGGTTTGTGTTTTTTAAATAGTTTTAAACACTATAATGTAACATAATAAATAAAAAGCGGTAATACTGTTGATGGGTGTGCCACTGTTGTAGGTGAGAAGTTAGGAAGGTTAGGATACATAAAGTTATTCAATTTATATCTGTATACAAAGGTAAATCATTGGTAACGAAATACGATTCAGAGTGAAGTAATTTTTATGATTTCCGTCAAAATTCGAACATAGAACGCTTAAAAAAAAAAAACTAGAATTTACCAATTAAAACTTCTAAAAACCCGATGTTAGATTTTCAAACATTTTAATATAGAGACAGGAAAAATTATAATCGTATAAATCGAAAAAACCTCTAACATTTTAAATAATGTCTATAAAAAGCGTATAAATTGTCTGCATTTTTATACCACGTCTAAAAAAAGCTAATATAAGTATTTTGTGTATAAACCAGGTTTTTGTAATTATTTTTAATTGAAATACAATAATGAAAAAAAAAAAAAAATCGTAAAAATAATGAAAGCATTATAAATGTAAATAAGGACATTTTAATATCGGAGCTAAGTTTCGGGTCAAAAAATAGTATTGAAATATCCGCGCTCAGAATCTAAAAAAAAATAACGGACGGTTATTTATTACCTATACTACTTATTGATACGATAATAGAGACGATACAGGCAGAATAATAATACTATTGTCAATCTACACGATTTTTTAAAGTAGTTATTCGCAGTATTGAAATTACAAAAGTAGCATTTCGATATTTTCGAGTGAATTTTTTTTTTTTTATATGTAGAGGGCCCAGTCATCGGCATAATAGATAACCGATTTATTATGTATGTACGTGTTGTATAATATAAAGACCGAAGAAAACATTACAATATCCTGGACCCGTTTCGATTTATCTATTAATCCCGACCGTGAATAGGGTTTCGTATCTCGCGGTCACAATATTGTAAAAAGAACGTACCGCAGACAATATATTTTACCGCAATGTATTACTGTTTTCTTACACAATGGTTCGTTAAACGTGTGTGACAATGATTTCCGCGGAAAAGTATTCATTAAAATAGTTATTAAATAATATGTATTATATATATTTCAAAATAGGTCACAATCACAAATGTAACGACATTTTACAAAATAATAATAATAACAAGAATAATAATAAAGCGCGTTCAATGATTTCCAATTGAAAACAAGAAAATAATATATTATTACATTATTTATTCTTAAAAAATAAACTAGAGAATTATTTTGTACAAATTATTTGAAGTGTACGGTTGGTTTTTTTTTTTTTAATAACTTTCTCTAGCTGATATTTATTTATTCTCGTATTTAAAATTTAATTAAAATCGAAACGTTTTAGTATTTAAATACATTTCACTTTATTATATATACATTTTTTTTTTTACATAATAATATTGGGTATATATTATTAGCCATATTCGAACGATATTTTATAATAAAGCCATTCGTATTTTATTTTTTTTTAATTTTTATCCTGAAGGCTTGTACGCTGTAATTATAATGAGTCAACATAAAGTATTTACCATAGACGTAGGCAGTATGGTCAGTGGCGTATTTTCTGGAAGGGGTTCATAGTTTATAACATTTACGTATCTGGGTATTTTTTTGGAGGGGGTTCAATATTAAATACGTTAATTCCAATTGTCTAATCGCCTAACTATATACAACTGACCGTAATCCATTAATAATCAGATTTTGTTGATAGTATATGCGGCGTATATTGTGTACGGGAAGTGATTACTTAACTATGCTATATGAACATAAATCTGATTTGATAATTGTTTGGATTTGTGGGCGGCGAGTAATAAATACGCCACTACATAGGCATAAAAGGTACGGGAACCTTCGTAACAGGGTATAAGTCATTAATAGCTGACATCGAATCACTATCTCCCGAAATCCGTCACTGGCAAATAGAACCCCTAGAGAGTGCTATAAACTGCTTTTATAAGACGTCAAATTTTTGGTTTTCACTAAAAATATTCAGAGAATCCAAGTATAAAGTAAATCGGACGACAAAATTTCGATATTTTTAAATCGTTAGAAAAATTATATGATGCATTTTGTATCAAATTTTCAATTGTTTTTACGATGCTTAACACTAAATGTGTTATATGAATTAACTATATGAATTAAATATTCATATAGATCGAAAAATAGTCAGCAAGAAGTTTTTTACGATTTACGCCAAAACTTGAAACATATATAAAAAATAATAATTTTGATATTTTTAGTGAACCATGCAATAGTTTTGGTAGTGACTTTAACCTTTATTGTCAAACAATAATTAACTTAAGAAATAAGTTTGAGAAATAAGAGTTTAAAAATTACCGGCACGCCTGCGTAACTCCATACGAAATACACACCGCATTAATAATATATAAACACTTTCAGAATTTTTTCACAATAATTGCTATCGCCCAATAAATAAATTACGTAGACGAATACAACAATAACTTTATGCGAACTATCAAATTATAAAATTGTACTGTTAACGAATAAAATACAAATTAGTGGCGGTAGCAAGGGATATCGGGGCCATAGTTGGTGACTCAACCCTATAAATTATATTACAATATACGTATCGGCGGTTTGTGATGTATATGCGACTTCAGGGAGGTGAGATCGGTCGCAGTGCTGCCGAAATCCGTATCGCGACGGGCGTTGAGATTCGACTGGCGGTTCGAAAAGGGGAAAAAAAATAATAGGAATAATAAAATACGTATAGAGGTATACACACGCAGTTACAGGGAAAAATGAAAAAAAATCAATCGCGAAAAAAGAAAAACGTTTTTGTTTTTGTCCCCCCCCCCGCCCCACCCGTAGTGACATCAGATCGGTATAACAACTACTGACGATGACGACGAGGGCGACGAGGACGACGGTATAATGATGCAATCTCGATGATTGCGGTCGTCGTCGTCGTCGTCGTAGTCGTCGTCGTCGCGCGTCGTCTAGAAAAACGTCATTGTATAGAAATGAATTTGTTACACGCGGCAAAATGTATACACGTATATAATGTATAATACGCGAGCGCGCGTATAGAATTACTACGTATATACAAGAGCATTTCACATATTTCCCCCCTTTTTTTTTGATTTTGATTTTTCTTTTTCGCTCTCTCGACATAATATTATACGCGCCGCTCAAATACGGAAATATATATGTGTACATATTTTTTATTTTATTTTTTTTTTTTTTTTTCATATATACGTATATGATATTATTTATAACGACGGGCGTGCGCGAAGTGGCGTCGGCGGTGGCTCGAGTTCGGGCGGGCCGAACGGAAGACGAGACTTCGGCCGCGGCGAGGTGTGTGTAGGCGGTTAGGACGACTGCTATATTATAAGGATTGAATTGTGTGCCGTTTGATCTGTGCAAGCAGCAACCCTACCGGCACGTCCGTCTCCATGGTTACATAAGCGCGCGGCGGCGGACGTCCGTCCGGTTTTTGTGCGATCCCCTATTTTATCGCGGTGGCGGCGGCGGCGGTGGCGGCGGCAGTGTGGCCCCCGGGTGGAACAACGGTCGGCCGGCCGAACGACGACGACGCGACGTGCGAGCGGGCGAGCGTAGCGCCGGGGCGCGGAGAGCCCCTCGGGGGACCTTCCGCGCGCGACGGCGGCGCGGGGACAAGAAATTGATATCGATGACAGCCGTCAAAAACATACCCGACCGCCGTCGCCGCCGCCGCCGCCACCGCCGTCCTTCCGCTCACCAATCACTGCGTTACTCCGCGTCGCCATGCCGCCGCCGTCCCGTCCGGTCGACCGGATCTCCTCCGGTAATACGGGTAACACACGCGCTCACCGCGTATACCTTTCGGCTTTCGCGATGAATCTCTACCGCCGCCGCTCGACCGTCGTTATTAGTTTATCGTATTGTTTCGGTATATAATACTTATATACACGTATATACCACGGACCGTACTGTATACCAGAGCCGGAGCGAAGAAAAGAGAGACGGAGAGAGATAACGCCGAAATCTATATTGTGTAGGTGTATAATATATATAACATAAAATAGCTGTATCACTGTCCGTTTTAACCGTTGTCGTTTTACCTCTACCGTTTGTCTCGGTTTCGTCGACGGCGTATACCCTATCGTATTGCCTATCCCCCGCAGTCTTCGCGTGTAACCCTCTCGGTAATTGGAAATACCCAGGAATCTCCGGCAGGAAAAATCGCCGGAGGACGAAATTCGGAAAATAAATCTCCCAACCCGTCAGAAAACAAAAACAACTCATTTTAATTTCACTCATTCCGCCGTGCATATTTTACATGGGCAAGTTAGGTTTATTCGTTTACCCTCCACTTGTGCTTTGTCTAAATACTTATATTTTGGTACTTCTCTGTTATCGGGATTATATTTTCGACAGTAATTACGACATTTGTTCGCAAACAGAGGTGACCAAAATGTCGGTTTTGCGTAGCGAGGCTTAGGTTTACACTTGAGGCTATTCCCTTGACCAGTATCATGTTTGGACGTACGGGCCGCAGGTCTCTTATGTGACGTCAAGCGAAGAGTTTCCTGTAACCGTAAAACTTTAAAGTTAACTATGATCGACAAGTTTTGATTTTATCAACGGACCACATATTTTGACAAAACGATTTTTTTAAATACCTATTAAATTCTAAGCGTTATTATTATTATTATTTTTAATGTTATTTTTCAACATGTTCAATTTGTTTCAAATTATTTTTCAATTAAGTCAATATCTTGAACGGCAAATTCGTAAACATAAGCATATTTATCTCAGCCCGGTCTCGGTCTAGCGAGTTATAAGTTTACATTTAGGACGCTATCCTGCTTACAGTAGTGTCAAGTTTGAAATAATTAAGGGTAGATAAGTGACAATTATCCAGCCCCCGTTCACAGTATGAGAAGAACAGTGGTACGCATATCGAGCCGTTTTCCCCGTACCCATCACTATGGCTTAGGCTTTTAATCGTTTGATATTCCGGTTCACGTATACAAAAACTTAAAAGTTAGTACGATTAACGTTGTCTTTAACTTTTATTCAGTTTTAATTATTATTAATTAAATCGGGAGTTTGTTATAAACGATAACAGAAAAAGTGTTTGTTTATTTTTCAATAATATCGACGTCGGGCTTTTTTTTACGTCAGGTGGTGTCAGGTATTTTCTTTTTGGAAATTTTTTTTTTTTTTCCTACGTTCGGGTATTGTTTTCCCCGCGTTTCTTCTTCTTCGTCGGAGGAGGATTTTCACTCCACGATTAGTCCCTCACGCGTTCCCCGCAGGAGGTACACGCGCGCGTCCGCCACTTCAAACGGATGGGAAATTATATCGGCGGTTGCTCCTCGGCCACCTGCGCCCGTCAGGGACGACGCGACGACGACCGCGGCCCGCCGAGTGTTGCCGGCGGCGTTGATTACGGTGGCGGCGGCGACAGTGTAGCGAATATAATTCGGACGGGGGAATCGATTGTCAGAGACGACGAGACGGGAGAAAACGCGCAATTCCACGAGCTCACATAACGTTTGCCGTATTGCGTCGTTTATTAATTTGATTTGCGATGAGCACAAGCAAACAGGGCTGTCGTCGCTGTGTCCGTCACTCGCGACTGTATAATAATAATAAACCTAACAATTTAGTGGCGCGGTTTTATCGTCGACGAATGTACGGTTTTGAAAATATTAAAAACTGATATCGTTGAAGTGTATCCACTATCTACCAGCTTTATGGATCCTATACGAACGATTCGATCTATACTTAATTTACTCTCCACGAAGAATACGTATACAACGGGACAGTGTTTGTGCAAAAGGGCTCAAATCCAAAAATTTGTACACTAAAAAAAATATTGACTTGAGTCCTTTTTCACGAACTAAATTGAATTATTGGTATCACGACTTATGATAAAACACATATATAAATAACTTAATAGCGATCCTAAATTTATTCGAACTATAGTGATACCAGTAGAAGTGGTACAAAATTGCATACAAAACATTAATATGAAATATAAAAAAATTCGACTAAAACTCTTTTGCATAAACACCGTCCAATTATTTATTATTGATTCACGGTTGGGGTGCTTACGATTTGGTTCCTATAACAACCGGATTGGTTCCCGGGTACCTAGTCTATAGCCACATAGGTAGAGCGTAGGTGTGAAGTTTTGATTTATATGAAACAGTTTTAATAAAGTTTCAAAACACTATAAACAAACCCAAACCCCGAAGAATCAAGGGCTGTTTCTGAGACTAACCCATCTAACAAAATTTATCTAAAATATCAAAAGAAATTGTTTTAAAATAGTTTAATAATAGTTTATATTAGTGGCTGGATGTGATTAAGAATGATCTGAAGACAGCTGGTATAAGCTACGGGGGCGATTAGGTCAAGTTGATGTTTGGGACAAGTTAGAGAAATTTGGATTTAATTTTTAACACTATAAATTCTTCAATGGCTGCATCATAACTAATTTAATTTACAAAACGTTGTTCCACAGACCATAATATTATAATAATATTATAATCATAATATAATATAATACCATAATATAATCATGAGTATTGAGCTTTGAAACGGTCTTGTGCCATTTTCAAGAGGAGGTGGGAACCAAATTTAAACAAGAGATTAAAATTTATCTAGGTCACTTAATAAAATATGTAGGTATTTACCAAACAAATTTTTCTCGCGTTTTAATTTGAACCAGAGACGAAATCAGGATTTTGAATTTAGAGGAGCTAAAAACGTTTTTACTTGAGACATGGGCGAAGATAAGAGAGGGCATAGATTTATGACCCTCGAAAAATTTAGAAAAGTGTTTTTATCAATATGTATTTTAATGTAATAATTTAAATGAAAATATAAAAAATAAACTTAACAGATACCTATTGAAATAAGATTATAATATGTGTTTCATTATAATTTTTAGATTCTGAGAGTATGGATAATATATTGGTTTTACTAAGATGTTTATTTATTTATTTTTTTTTATACTGTGTACAAAAATTCTACCTGAAATCTTGCTCAGATATATACGCGCGGCACCATTTCTGAAAGGAAATTTTGTCTAGATGATACTTTTAAGAAGTTATTTTTGATTTTCTAAGCGTTTTTAATAATATCTAAAAAAAACTAGGAGAAAACGTAAAATAAAAACCGGGAAATTTACGATAATAATGCTTTTCTTATTTTTAAATTTTGATTATTTGTTGAAATTTAGTTAAAAATATTCGCATCGACTCTATGGACTTAAAAATTGGACAGGAAATTTATATTTACCTTTTATCTAGACATGGTAAAGTTTTTTAAAAAATTTAAGTCATTTTTGAGCTATTAGTAGACATTTTATTTTGCGAGTTTTGTACGTAATTTTTATTCGGTAGATACTCGATGGTAAAATTGATAGACTTAACAGAAATGCTTGAAAATTTAACAGGAGTTTCATTAAGACTTTTACATTGTTCTAAAAAAAAGAAAATTTGAGTTTAATGTAGTATTTTTTTTTATAAAGAAATTTTAATATCAAACTTTGACGAAAATTGTTGAGTAAAAATTATGTGAAACAAATCTAATTTTTCAATTTTTTTTTTGTTGAACATATGGATACTGATGATTTATAAACGATGCTGAAGTCAGAATTGTACGGACTGACTAAGTTTCGAAATTATAGCTTTTTGAAATTCTGATATTATACGGATATTATTTGTTATGTTAAATAACTATATATTCTCTAAGGATGTTTGTCGTAGCTGAATGGTTTGGTTACACACATACCTATTTTCATCCTAGGGTACGGAAGTTCGAACCTATGTTTCAAAAAAAAATTGTTTGCATTTTTTTCCCTTTTACCTAAACAAGGAAAAAACAAATGCATTATAGGTGTACCTAGACACCTAAGAGCTATCGCTCGCTCGGATTATTTTAATCGTAAAATCCCCCTCGATTTGATTTGCAAACTTTTTACCAAAAATATTGCTCCGCTTTACAATGATAATACTTTTTCTAAAAGGAAATTTGACTAAGGAAGTACTTTGAAGAGGTAATTTTTCGATTTTCTCATGAGTTTTCCCAGCAAATGTGAAAAACTGGGAAAACTCAGGAAAAACGGGAAAATTGGTACAATATTAAACAAATATTATTAAATAAAATATATAATGACTATGTAATTATTTTACCATAATATGACATATATATTGTTGACAAAGCATCACTATCAACTGAACTGCACTCACAACCGTTTTATCGTTAGCAATGGTTTATCGTTAAATAAAATATTATATACCTATAAATATTAAGTTACCAGGTCATAATACGATCCAGGCCAACTGGAAAATTCTCATTTTTAGACCGACTACTTCACTTTTGGCCATATTACACCTTAATTTTGTTTCACAATACTTAATTTAAAAGACTGTCGTTTACAGGAACAACTTGTATTTTGTAAGGTCATCAAATTTGAAAGTCATTTAAATATATTTAGGGAAAAAACTATATTTTGTTCATTTTTGTAGACGGAAATGAGTCAACAATATGCCTCAGTGATTTTACTAAACGTATTTCAGTCGATTTCAAATTTCTGTCAATATTTTAAGTCTATGAATATTTTTAACTGAATTGCTATCAAAAAAAAAACTAAACTGAAAATAATAAAATGATTATTTTCGTAAATTTTCCCGTTCTTTCTACGTTTCTTTACCGTTTTTCTTAACTATAAAAAAAAAAAGCTATAGCAAATCAAAAAACGGGTTTTTTTTTTACTAACAAGATTAAAAATAAAACAAAAAAGTTACCTAGTCGTTTTTCTATTGGAGCAATATTTCTGTTAGAAAACATCGTTCGTAAAAATTGAAAATAATGAAATCGTACGCCGTAAATTTGTTCGTTTATCATTTATTCGTCTTTTAATGAAAAAATTATCTATTTAATGCCCTAATTATTCAAAAATACCTTTCTGAAGAGATATTACCCTCTATACACTGGAGCAATATTTCCGATAGAAAAGTTGTTTACAGACAGAAAAAAAAACCCACATAATAGTAAAACCAATACATCTCTCACTATACGCTTCGAATTTAAAACTACAAGTTGTTACTGTGTATATGTATTACAACAAAAGTATATATTTTATTCAATTTATTGGGTAAATATCGGATATTCACCCAAAGAAATATTTACCGAGTAAATGCCCGTTACTAAAAGAAATAATACAACGGTAATTATGTAATAAAATACCATAAAAAAAACTAATAACTCATTAGGCCGCTATAATATTAAATACTTACCGGTTCTCTTACGTTTTATGACGTATGGAAATTGTATTTTGATTTTTGAAAATAGGTACTAAAATATCAAAAATGTGTTTTTTAATTTCTCATCCCTCCGTTAATATTCAATTCCAATCGAATAAACGAATTTCCGAGAAAATCAAAATACCGATATATTTTATTGTTATAATAATGCTCGTAAATACTGTACGCAGCTTAGTTTAACATTTCAATAGGTAAAAGGTTCTGTAAAAATTTATTTTTCATCATGAATGATGTGTAGTTACTCGGCTGCGTTGAAAAAATTGCATTTTTTATTTCGTTTGTTATTTAATAAAATAATATTGTTATTTTTCTCCATAGTCTCCACTTGACATAAAATAAAATTATATGATTCTCAATATTAAATTTATAATAAACCATATTGAATCATATGTTTAATATATAGGTAGGTATTTAAGCAGGTAGGTTATTAATACCAGAAGCCAGAGAAGCCAGAAAAGCTAAAGAAAAATGGTTGGAACAGCAGTGTGGCGAAATTAATGAGCTATTCAAAGATAAAACAAAATAGATTATACGTATCGCAAGATTCAACAATTTATCGGAAAGAGAAAACGAAATTGCACTAATATAAAAGATAAAAATGGCCAATTATTAGTTGATAATGAGAACATAATAAAACAATGGAAAAAATATATTGAAGAGATTTATGAAGGAGAAAAGAGAAGATTTGACACCAATTGAGGAAGAAACGATGATACCTATTTTAAGATCAGAATTTGAGCAAGCGCTTTACGACTTAAAACAAAATAAATTGCCAGACACTGATTATATAACAACAGAATTATTACAGAGTGCTAGTACGAAGATGAAGGACGGTTTATATAAACTAATTCGGGATATGTATGAAAAAGGAGATGTGCCAGATGATTACTGTAAAAGCATAATTGTAACTATACCAAAGAAAAGAGGAGCAAATTCCTGTGTACAGTTTAGAACATTGAGCCTACTGATATACATCTCAAAAATCTTAACAAAAATAATAAATCGAAGAATAGAAAGAAAAGTGGAGCAGTATTTACAAAATGACCAATATGGATTTAGAAGACAAAAAGGTACACGAGAAGCAATTTTATGACTGCAAGTGCTAATTGAAAAACAGATCAATAGAAATAAAGTTACATATTTGGCCTTCATGGCCCTGGAAAAGGCCTTTGACAAAGTTAATTGGAATAAAATGCTGCTCACATTACGAGAAATAGGTGTTGAATAACAAGACCTAAGAATCATCCACAGTCCTTACAGACAGCTTGCATTAAAAAAATGAGAATTCACTACTAATGCTCAAATAAAAAAAGGAATCCGACAAGGGTGTACGTTATCACTAGTATAACTAGGGAGCAAAATTTGATAGTAAGAGCGTCCGAGAGCTAAAACAACGCATAGAATTAGCAATAACTGCCTTTAGTAAAAAACAGAAGTTGCTCACTTCAAAAAAGTTACATCTCAATATCAAGAAGAGACTTATAAAAACATATGTATGGAATGTTGCAACATATAGATGTGAAACATGGGTAATAAATGATGCTGAAAAGAAAAAATTAAAAATCTTCGAGATGTGGTCTTGGAGGCGTATAAAAAGAGTAAGTTGGATAGAGCGGAAAACTAATGAAGAAGTACTTAGAACTGTGGAAGAAAAATGTACACTCATAGATGCGATTAGAGCAAGATGGTGGAAAATAGTTGGGCATGCCTTAAGACATCCAGAAGAGTTGCATAATATAATATTAGAGGGTATGATAGAAGGAAAGAAGACTGCCGAACCTCCCCGAAACTCTTATATAGGACAAACGATATGTGAGAATCAAAACCTTTAAGGAACTTGAAGAAAAGGCGAGTAATCGGTTAGAATAGAGAACTGGAGTTGTAAACCAACCTTCGGGTTAAAAAAAAAAAAAAAAAATAATGTAGACAATTAAAAACACGATATTTTAATTATTTAAGAGTAATTTTATACCTAAGTAGTTAGTATTCCGTAATATTGTTAATTCGCATAAAAATATATTAGGTATTTACCCTAATATATCTGTGGAAGTTATATGATATACGAGAACGAGAAACAGAGAAATTCGTACTCAAAAGAAATCTTATTAATATTTCAATATTATCTAAACCTAATAAATTTAACATAATATTTTATTATTATATTATAATGATAGTGAGTAAGGTACCTAATAATTATTGTATAACGTTAAAATGAACTTCATTTGGACTTCGATATAATATTAATTTAACGGGTTGTACAATTTTAATCGAATACCATTAGGTATAGGTATCTTATTATATAAAGGTATATTTTATATAAAAGAAACTTCGCTCCGAATCGTTTTTCGTTAGCATGTGGTTTTTCATTTCGTAGAGATATAAATTAAATTCTCCTCTAAATATCCCACATTCCTAACTTCTCAGTGGTACTTTTACCTCTGACCGAGTCTCCCTCCACTTAAATATTTCTATACTAAACCTATTCTGCACACCCCGCAAAAATCCTACGCATACTTATGATAGTACTTATAAGTTATTAGTGATAAGTTATCACTTTAAGTAATCATTTAGCTTATAACCAATAATCAATTACTTGTCAAATGATTTTGTCACGGGAGTCTAATTTTTAAACAATTAAAATTGTTTACATAATTTCATAAATATCCGGTAGTAATATATATATATATATATATATTATTATAAATATTGAAGAAAAAAAGACCTCGGAAATTTATCTCTTCATCCCCCCCCTCCCCTATCGCAAACAATATTCAAACTAAATAATGAATATTATTAAGAATACCAATGTAAATATAATATTTAGTTTAATAATTTTTAGTAGTGCACCACACATTGTATTGATATAAATCTACAAAATATTTACTCAAAATATCCAATACCTACATACAATATTATAATTGATACTATACTATGCATTTAGCATATTCATATTACACTCAGCATTAGAAAGTACTAACAAAAATAGATCTGACGTAACAGGTTTTGGAGCATTTTGTTCCTCTAAAGAAATTATTTGTTTCTTTTAAAAAGTAAAAGTGGAACAAAAAATTCTAAAGTGAAGTAAATAGTAGAAAATACAATTCTATGTATTGTTATTATAATTTCTTAGTTTTTAGAGAATGATAAGTTTAATTTTTTTCAAAACTGTAGTATCCTATAAAAATAAATTTAGTTTTAAATTATTGATTGGTAAAATGAAAGATTATTTGCAAGAAGGTTCCGAAATTCCCATTGTTTTGGGCTCACAAATATATCATTTATTGCTGCTCGCTTTAAAATTCAACAAGTCAGTTTGGTTCCAATTATTTTTAATATTTCTATTAACTTGGTCTACCTACACCAAACAAATTCATTCTTTATTAACTTTATACTCGATACAGACCAAAACTTCTCTAGTTGAATTTATAATATCTTCATTATGAGTTTTTAACTTTAACAAACTAGTAATTATTTCTGATTTAGACTAATATTTTTAAAATTACTTAAAGACTATTATAGACCTCCTCGTTACATAATCGAACTTCATGTCAGTCTGTAACTTTAAAATATTTATGAAATATGGTTTAATACTATTTTGATAACCTACACTGATTGGAAACATTTTTACTGGTTCCATTTCCACTTATACATAATGATTATTAAATTTATTTGTATATATTCATACCCACACATTTGTTGCACTTTCTTATATAATAACATTTCATCATAGAAATTAAGGTTATGCGTTTCGCTCTCGCATAAAATGTTACCAACACATAACAACAATAAAGAAGGTACTAACTCAAAAGCCCTTTTCAAGTTTTAGAGCAGGTATAACAATATAGTTGTAGATCACCATATACATATGATATCATGTAGTATGCAGACATAAAGACAAGTACACAAAAGTTCTTTTCTCGTTTTCAGTAATTTGTCATAGCGGTGGTTTTTTTTTTATAATAATAATAATAATATGGTCTTCGGTATTATAATATTCTTTGATAGTAATGGTGCAGTGTGTAATGTTTCGCACATGATCGAATATCAGGAAAAAAAACATTATTATTGTTTTATTATATAGATCGTTCGCGCCATTGATCATACAGAAAAATAAGATCCGCGTATCTGCATTGTATTTTTTTTTAAATACATTCGCAAACCTTTTTTACTGAAAACTGTTTTGACTTTATTCATTTATAATACACGTACGGTAGAATCGTAAATAATAATAATAATAATAATAATAAACCCTAATATTAGAACTTAAAAATATTTTGAATCGTAATAAGTATCTTCTTTTTTATTGTATCCTTTATATGTTATATAATACCTAACACTTTAATATTTCTTTTTCGATTCTCCTATATAAGTAAAAAAATTATCTATTTTAATCTTTTATACTATATTATTATATCGGATAAAAATATTAAATGTTTAAATGTTTTAAAACATTTAAAAATATTACAGTTTACTTAAACAGAAGACGGTATTTTTTTTTTGTTTTTTCAAAGGAATTGAAATAATAAAGTAATATATTATGGCGAGGCGAACGCTTATTTGACAGGAAATAGCTTCTGAGATTTTTGGAAGATATGGAGGGTGGGCAGTTTATAATTTATATTTGATACTAACAATAATTTAATAATTATAAAAAATATTTTTGATTACACTGGCTAATATATTTTTGCGGTCAACAATATTATAGTGAATTCTGTATGAAATTTCGCTTATAATTTCGAAAGTGTAAGATTTGTAAAATTCACTCTTGTTTATGAGTTAATCATTAATTCGTAAAAATAAAAAATGGCATTTACTCCCTCAATATGAATGAAATTTAATGAATAAAAAATATTGTGTTATTAATGAGTTGCGCAAAATTTGAAACTTTGTTGTAATTAATGTTTAACAAATTGTGAGTTACAAACATGATAAATGTAGAAACTAGAGTAGAATAAGGGAACGTAAACGGAAGCCAAATTGAGATGTTGCGGGCAGCCGAATTTAAGCGAGCGCATTTTACAGTTTTAAAAATCCTTTCGTTCAACTACTTAGTTTTATCGCATGATAATTGGTTAATTACCGCAGACCGATGGCTAATTCGAATTGGCATCAAATCAGGCGCATGACCCTAAGTATACATTATACATCATCGATTCGGATTTTCAGAGCAACGCGTGGTATATACGAGTATTAAATAATATAGAGTTTAAATTATGTATAGGTTGGTAGTGTGCGGTGGTGTAATTAATCCCACAGGTCGTTTGTTCGCGTCGCTGTTTACGTTTGTGTCGGTGAAATTGAAAAGTTATTCTCTACGCGAGTTTTGCAGTGTTGCGCACATTATAGGCTTAACGAGCTTTTCTCGATTTTTCCGTTATATATTCTATTTCTCCACGTAAAAGCTTCGTCTTTTTTTATTTTTGTCAGTCTGTCAACTATATCATATATCAACTATATGACATTGATTCGCCAAAATATGGACGGATTTCTATTATTATATGGTAATACTCGCGATGGTTGAATGTGATAAAAAAAATATTAAAAAGACGGCCGACGAAAGTTGTTAACTCTTTTATCGAATACACACGTCCTTGTCCCCGGTATCGTGTACCTACTATAAAAAAAAAAAAAAAATTAACCGATAAAAAAAAAACGAAACAAAACAAAATGACTTTATTTTCGGCAATAAATATTAAATGAATATAAATAAATAAATATTTATGAATAAGCCATCGATATCAAAAGAATTGGGAAATATGTAATAAGATAAATTAAATTACTTACTCTTTTTGGTAGTACTTACACTTGGATTTGTGAGCATATATTTTTACGAATGAAAATTGTCAAATCAAAAACTATAGTTCGGTTAACTGACATACACTTAAAAAATTTGCTGATAATTGCATCGTCCAGATCCAACCAAATATAGAAAAATTAGTTAGAAAAAAATAATGACAGTAATAAGTTATCACATTAAATATAAAATAAATAATTTGTAATTAAAAATTGAAATATGTAAGTTTACATGTTATAATAATAATAAAATTGAATTTTTGAATAAAATACACTTCTTTACTGTGAAGGCTTGCAAGATTTATAGAAAATAATATGTGGCCCACTACATAAAAAGGCTGAAGACCCCTGTAATATGCACTGTGAATAGGGTCGGATTATAAGATTTGTAGGCCCATAGGCTCAACCTGTGGTGTGGGCCCTACCAGAGGGTTGTAAGGAAATAGAAAGGACATATGCACAAATAGAGGAGGCTAGAAAGACTAGCTCCTCTAAAATATAAATTTTGTGTATTTCCCAAAATTTAAGGGGCTAAGCCCCCCTTATTAATTTCACGTTCTCATTCAATAACCCCATATATATATATATATATAATAAAATATCATATAAACTATTCTTAAAATCTATCTCCTATGCATCCAGACATATCCAGACATTTTTTTCATGTTCAATAATTTCTCCTACTAAACACAATGATGACGTAGGTACAAACCATTTGTGTAGGTTCCACGGTTTTTAAATATGAATTTTAAGTTGTGATGTACATTAAATTAATTTTACACGGTAGACATTGTGCATGCAATGTTTTAAAATTACAACGCATATTCTGTTCTCCAATACGATATTCTTATAGTTTAAGGCCTTCTCCAAAAACCGATCGGCATTATATCACAGCAGTGTGCAAGCGCCTATTTAATCCCATGTACATGGCTTTTAACTATACCGCACAAAGAATTTCGTGTGCCGTCAATCGGCCTAGTAATATCGTATCGGTGTGTTTGGTGCAATATACAATATCCATACAATCCATATACAATCATTGGACCAATTTTACCAATAGCGTAATCGTACCGGTACCAGACCGCGTACCGTTGCAGTGTGTGAGAACCGTAATAATATTATTAAATCGTATTGTTTATAATTATTATATTTTCCTAACAAATGCAACTGCTTGAAGTCTAAAGTTTTTCCAATATATTTAGTAATTTAATTTGAAATTGGGAGTGCAGCGAGGGATCTATTGTTTTTACTATAATAGTATAATGTGTTTTATTTTCTTTTTTATATGTTTGTAAACAACTTTTGAACAGAACACTTGCTCCAATCGAAAAATAACCTTTGTGTATCTACCTTTTCAACTTCTCACACACAAATGTGGCGCACCCATAAGCAGTATCAGCTATTGTAGAGTCGGATCTATTGGTTTTATAATGATGGATGTTTTTTTATTGTTTTAATTTGTGTGTTACAAAAAATTATGATTTGAGTTGTAATGAGTTTTTTTTATCCAAGCGTTAGAAATGCAGTTTCTCCTTGTCACGTCCTGTTAGGATTGCCAAATATTTACCCTTAAAATGTGTTTTAATAATAATAATATTAAAAAAAAAAAAAAATAAATAAATATTAAGCTAAGTAATAATTAACAATATATAATTTGGTCAAATGTTGTATTGTAGCCAATATGTAGCTAAGTCAATAGCGTTTTGATTCGCTAGAATTAAGTTATCCGTGGTGCATATTGCCGGGTTCATGGTACATATGATTATGTGTTCATCTGTCCGATATTTACACAATTACACTTGTCATCTTTTTTATTTTTAAATCTCCATTTTACCATATTTGATTTTAATCTTGCTACCCCTAATTTTATTTTATTAATGGTTTTCCATAGTTCCTGCAGGATCCTAACCTCAAACTTTGCAAAACACATCTTAGACAGTAAACACAAAATCACTAACAATATAGAAAAAGACCTAACAATAATTTGTGTACAAAAAAATAAATATTTAAATTCAGTATTAAAAGTTATCATATACAAAATGAAATAAAAAAACAATAATAATAATTTAAATATACAAACTGATTTGATTATAAAAATTACATTATTTTTACCTCTCTTCATAATCTTAAAGATAATAGTAGTAATAGTAATAATTCTTAATCAATTTTTTAATTTCATATTTTTACACGACTACTATGTATAGTATAGAAGTCCATGTGTTTCTATAACATTTGGATATACTATCAAATTTGTATATACATTTGTTTTATAATGTTTTAGATTTTGAGCGGAGTGAAGAATGTTTTTGTTTTACAATGATGTTTATATTTTTTTTGTGTGAACACATTTTCTAACAAAAAACTTATTCCGATTATTAAGTATAGCACCTTTTGTGAAAGGAAATGCTCATTTTTTGAAATTCTCATTAATATTCGAGATAATGTGGAAAACCTGGTTCTTTAGGTTAAAAAAGATTGAAAGATTTAAAATAAGGTTTTCATTAGCAACCGTTTTTATTTATTTTTTGTTATTATTAAGTTTTTAATATTATAATCTTTTTTAAATAATCATTATTGTCATGGATTATTGTCATGAATATTGCACATTGTAATAATTTTACCATGATATGACATATATATATATTGTTGATAAATCAACAATATCAACTGAACTCCGGTCAGAATCAACTTTCGTTAGCAACAGTCTGTATCCTACCTTATTAACCAGTTCTCAACTGCCCATTTACAACAGTTGCTGCACCCATTTGCGAAGTAAGTCCATCTTTTTTAAATTTTTTTTGTAATTTAAATTCATATGTTTGTCTTTTTATTAATATGTAATTAAATCAAAAGCGATATTATAAGTAACTTATAAGTAACCTAAATATGCTAGTATACCAAAACTGAGTAGTTACAAAAATATAAATTAACGCTCTAGTTTATACACTCTAAGTCATCTTTTAAACAATGTTCTTATATTTATAAGTATAAGAAACTCTTATTATGTTAAGAGTTTCAAATCTCCCAAATATACAAAAAAATTAATTATTTGACATTTCAGTGAATAATTATCATTTATAACAAAATAGAAAATAGCAAAAATTGCAATTTAAAAACTATTATTATTATTATTATTATTTAAGTTAAAAATCATTGTAAAGTAATAAAACCAAAGTAATAGTAAGTGATTCTTCCATTGACTGATTGTAAGTGAAAACATATCTATATAATTATAATGAAAGATACAAAATTTAGCGGTTGATTATCAGGTAATACAATTTAACTGTGAGCAGATTTAAAAATTCACTATAACTGCAAGTAGTAAAGTCTTTAACTTTTTGATACCAGACTAACAGCTGACAAGTTGATGTAGTTATCGGAGCCACAAACATCAATCTGCAAACCACAAAAAATATAAAACAATATAAATCTGTAAAAAAAAATTAAAGAATAAATAAAAAATTATCATAAAAAATATTATTTATAGGCAAAGTGAAAAGATAATTATATACAATTTTGTGACAAAACTGTTTAATTTTACAAAGTGGCACAAAATACTCCTAAGACTGATATATTAATTACAATTCCATTTTATTTATGATTTCAGTTATAATCGTTTACTTATTCTGTTATAAATAACCAATAACACCGATAAAAAAAAAAAATTTCTATTTATAAAGTTATTGAAAGAGAAGAATTCATAAATTATCATAAAGAATTCTTAAAATAAATGATTTGAATAAACCAGGGTCTTCGTTTTTTTACAGAAACCAGTGTGATACGTTTCTAAGAGCAATTAATGAAGTTTAGGCAGTCCACAGTTTTTCAAGGTTAATTTAATTTTAAAAATTAAACATAAGGTTTTAACGGTAAAATGTATTCATCGATATCATCCATATGGAAATTTTTCAATACTACATGAAAATGGAAACATATTTTTTTAAAAAACTAAAATTGTCTAAAACAATAAACAAATGCAGAGATGTACAATTTACAATATTAAGTCACTTCTAACATATCCTAACATATTCTAACATATAAAGAGATATAATAACGGAAGCTCCATTCATTTCCGATGTATATTTGACAATTTAAAATAGAATGCTTAGTAAATACTTGGCATATTTTTTGAATTTATATGGACCCATAATCATAGTCGTAAAAACTAAGAAAACTAGGTTAAAAATTAATCGAAAACGACCAAAAAACTTTACCATGTCAAAAAATCGTAAACAAATAACACACACACACACAAAAAAAGGGTCAAACCGTGTAAACGGATAGAAAATACAACTAAATTTGAATGAAAAACTCACAGATTAGTTCCGTTTTTTGCGTCTGGCCACAGTTCTAAATGTATTTGCCATTTTCTGTAAAAACGATTGTATGGCCTTTTCACTTTCGCATACTTGACTTAAGATAGAATCCAATGAGAGTAATATAAAATAGTGATGGATGCACTCATGGAATTGCTATTTAAAAAAAAAAAAAATACTTGGTCAAATGAAGGAAAACAACGGCCCTATTTTGTTTGAGTTCATTAAGTCATTATAATATTTCTTAAAATAACCAATGAAATTAAAAATATCCTATTTTTAATTCAAAAAGTTATTTATAAATTTTACAAATTCAACCCAATGATTTCAAACAAAACAGGGACACTGTTTTCCTTCATTGACCAACGTGATATGTATCTAAATGAAATAAACGCACTTTGGGCGGTCCGCAGTTTGTCAACATTAATTTTGTTTAGATATTAGACATGAGGTTTTTACGGCGATTCGGATAAATCGTTTACATCGATAATGTAATTGTTTCAATACACGATATGGAAAGGGAAATATTTTTTCAACAGACTATAATCCGGTGAAAAAATTCACTGGTATAGTGATGTTCAATCCGATTTACTATAGGTAGTCGTCTCTAACGTACAACGCTATACTAACGGAGGCGCCTTTCATCTCCGATTGGATAGTTGTCAATGTGTGTTTAGAATGCCTAGTAAAAACTTGGCATGTTTTTTGATTATTAACGGGCCCATAACCATAGGTTTCAAAACAATAGAATTACGAAGAAAAATTTAACCGAAACCACCGTAAAAAATTCCCGCCGTGTCAACAAATCCAAACCGAACGTGCGAGCGCAAAATTAAATAGACAAACCGCGGCGACACCTTTGTAGTGCACTTCATTTCAAAAAGATAACTCATGACCGAATGACACGCCCAAAAATAAGATAACATATTGTTCTAGATATTTTTACTGCACTTAATTTCATTTAATTGATGTCAATTTTTAAGATTGCTAAATATAAACTAACCATGTCAAAATGTCTTAATATAGTGTTATGCTCAAAAATAATGGAAGAAACCCCATTAGAATATATTATTATATGCTACTCTTACTTTACTATAAAATGTTTAATCTTACTTGGTTTTTTTCTGATCAACACAATTTTATTCAAAGTGATTTCATTTTTTTTTTGATTTAAGTATGGTTTTGAAATAATTTAAACTAACTGCCAATTATCATGTGATAATTTCTAAACGTTTCCTCTTTGTATCTATCGAAATTAATACATTATTAGGTTAAAGGTAAGCTCATTTAATATTAATACATAATGCAAGTTATATAGGTATTGTTAATTAGTTAATGGTACCTTGCGACTTTGTGTAATCAAAAAATGTTGCAAAAACTGTTATATTCTATCAGATGTAAAGAATTTATTCTCTTTTGAATATTGATTATTTGGAAAATTATAATTTTTTTTTTTTTTTGTCGACTTTTGTTTGAATAATATATCAACCATTATTTTGTAGAGTAGATTACGGTACTAGAGTGTCTGATCTATCATCTTTTCACACAACTCAGTTAGTGTATTTTGTCCTCAAGTGGAGGCGTGTGAAATTGTCTCGTTGACATTATGAAGTGCTACGTTCAGTCATTTCATGGAATAGGAACATTTTTTATTTCTTAGCAGGAAGAAGCATATTATCGGATCCATATCTATGATGTCATCAAATCCGATTATAAACATAGTCATTACATTACGATAAAACGGGTTCGTGATAAAGACTGTATTATTGATAATTGAATTTTTGAATTTTATATGTTAAATACTTTTCGGTGTTCAATTCCAATATTAAAACTGTTATTGTGAATATTTTCTAAACAATTTCCATTTAATTTCTTTAAAGCATATTACTTATATAGATGTATACATTTGATTATAGATATTCTATTTTATAGTATTAACCACAACAGACAAACAGACAAGAGCAGCAGCTTTAGTTTTTTGTATATTCAAACCTAATGCTGTTTTGATTAAAATATTATCAAGTTTTGATGTTCAGTATTAAAATATATTATTAACCTATAGTTATAATAGGTAAATTTTCTTACGTGAATATTAATTAATTAATACATTTTGTAATTGTGGCCAAATTTTAAAACTACAAATGTTGTCAAAACTTCTTAGCTGGTATGATATTTTGCTGATCTTTCATAACCAATCAACAATAAAAATAACTAACATATTTCTTAATCCGAGTAAAATTGATTATATCATTATAAATTTGCTAACTTGTGACTTTATTTTTGAAATTTCTATTTAGTTTTGATGCTGCTGTATGTTGGATTATTATGAAAATTACAACATTTTACAATGGCTATAACATCATGAATTTTCAGACTCGTGGATTGGTATGACTCCGACCCCCACACCTCCTTCATGTGCACACATGGAGGCAGCAAATGTCCAGCAATTAGTTTTTGGGTCATACATTTCCACTGTTGGCAAATTTAGAAATCCATCATAACCCCCTATGGCCCAAAGCTTTCCAGCGTTTGCCACTAGTGCTACTCGACTTCTTGTTACATTCATTGGAGCCACAAATTTCCATCTGTGAACCACAGAAAATATAAAACAAAATATTATACATCTGTAAAAACATTAAACAATTATTCAAATGATAATAAAGTATTAGCTATAATGAAGTGATAGAAACAAAGCAGAGGTGGCCAAACGGTACACCATGGACGATTTAAATACAGATCTCTCTTATGTTAGAATATATTTTGTTATGTAATTCGTAAATGAATCAAAATTGCTGATCATTTTTATCATAATATATTATTATTCTGTTGTTAATTTATCAAGTAATATGTCAATTCAACAATGTTTATACTGGCAATTATATTTACAATAATATTATATTAGTTTTAATAATAGTGTGATGAAAAACATTATTTAACTATACATTTTAGTTTTATTATTAACATGTATGTTTATTATTAATACCTATTAGGTATTTTATAATTATATATTTTTGTTAGGAAGTCGATACTTAAAGGAAAAATATTTTCTTAATAGCTCTCTACCAAAAAAAGTTTGACCACCCCTGGTATACAATATTAAATATAGTCATGTGTTAAAAAACAAATTAAAATTTTTTTCAAATGATTTTTAGTTATATAATTTGTAAAGGAGATGAAATATTTTATAAAAAAAGTATAAGATATTAAACTATTTTCAGCCATGGGCATTTAAAAAGATAGGTCATTATTAAAGACCAGATTTATGTTTTTACATATCATTACTAAGCTTATGCAGTCTTATGAAAGTAAGAAATGTTCAATTCTGAGTTTGTAAAAAAGTGTTTTTGCATATTTGAGAATACAGAGTGATTTTTTTATCATGAACCAGCAATTATCTCAGAGAATTTTAAGTGAATTTGATTTCTGTTTTTTTTTTAATCATGTAATCGTTAAAGCTTTATTTTAAAACCATTTTTAATCACAATTTTTTCATGGGTTAAGGATTTTGCTTATTTTGCATATTTTGGAACATTTTGTAAATTGTGAGAAAAAATATTAATTTTAATAATATAGTACATGAGAAAAATATATTTTGACATTTACAATTTTTTTTTTTTTTATCATTTTGATAAAAAGGCTTAAGGGCAGTACTTAAGTCACTGTGTTGTTTCGTTTTGTGTGAAATAATCTCTTTTGATTGGCTCTTATTATCTTGGTAGATACATTTTGATCATGTTTACAAAGATGTTACCGCGAATACCGCAAAGTTAAATAAATTTAACTTTTGAATCTGCTGAGTGTACCTAATAACATCATTTTCTTGTTTTTATTTTAGTAATAAATTAAATTAGTATAAAAATCATCATTTTTTAATAATTTAATTTAAAATTAAACTTAAATGTGAATTAATAATCAATTTTTATATTAGTTCAAATTCAATATGAACTTTGTGAAGGTAAATAATAATTTAGGTTATGTAATCGTAAAATGTATATTTTTTTAGGGACAGATATGCACTTTATACAAAAAGTTTGTTGTATTTAACACTTCACACTGTATTTTTTATGATATAAAATTAAAAACTAGTACTAGTAAATACAATACCATGTAATTTTAATATAGTTTGTACTATTGGTTTTAAAATCAATACCTACTAGTATAATCAGTAGTCAGTAACTACTAGTAAAATGTAAAATATTAAAAATAAGTAACTAAAATTAAGTAAAATAAATAATTTTGGTGTTTTTATTATTATTATTAGTTAATCATATAATGCAATTAAACAATATTAATAAAGTGGATACTGTTTAAGTAATAATTCAATGGCATTGCCAAATATCAAAGAAATGTTAATAATTTAGTGCAATTCTGATTTAGGTAAAGGTAAAAATAGTACTTTATTAGCTAAAGAATAATAATTAATAATGAAGAATGAGATCCAAAATTCAAAAAAGATTCCAAATCAATTAAGTATAAAAATATAAGTAAAATTAATTTAGTTAAAACTTATTAAGAGATAATATAAAATTATAAATAAAATATTTAATGAAAAAATATAATTTTTAAAGTTATACATTTTAGTGTTTTAATTTTTTTTGGGGGGCGGTGCATATTTAACCGCATATTTTTAATTTTTTGTTGCATAAGTGCATATTTGATGATTTTTTTAGTGTATGAAAATCTTTGTTCTAAATAATGAAACTATATTTTAAGCAAAATGTGTGATAATAATTAATGTGCATTTTTGGTGAATAGTAAATTAATAGTGATAGTGAACGGCAATGTTGGTTGTTGGTAGAATGATAGATGTACAAATTAATTAGCGCAATCAAAAAGGAACATATGTGTTTAAAAAAGACGAAACAAAACGACACAGTAAGTTGGGGACTTCCCTTTAATGTTTAGTATGTTTGGTACCCTACCTATTATAAATTACCGTTTACTTAACATGGTGGCTAATCTGCAATGCTGACGTATTTGTTTATACTTAATCATCAACTATTCAAAAGACCAAATATTTTGTTTTGCACTTTTCTAATAACGTGTAACGTGATTTTTAAGTTTTTGAAAATTAAATTACCTATATTATTATATTTATATTATATTTTTACTCTTACTTAACTGTACTATTATTCTATTTTAATACACAAGTGTCACTAATTATTTATGGAATGTTGTATAACAAAAAAATGTAATAAAAATTGCATATTAAAGCATATTATATTGATTTTTATAAATTATTTTTGAATATTTTTCAAACTACTAACAGAATATGAGAATATTTTAAGGTTTTTTAGAGAATATTAGCATCATATTTTAGGTGTTTTAAGACAAGTCCGGTCTTTAGTCATCATTGATTAATATAAATTGATAAGGTATTTTAAGTAAATTTTCCAAGTAAATTTTTCAGAAATAAATGAAATTCATTATTCAACATACAAATCATTTAATTTAGTGAACAAAATATACTATGTATACTAGAAACTTAAAATAATCATAACACATTTAAATATTATAACCAACTTCTTAGACCTTGGTTGTATTTAATATTTCAATGTGATTATAATTTAACCTTTATTTCTTTTAATGAAAACTTACTCGAACCAAGGCCTTAAGCTTTAACGAGTAGACCGATGTATAATATTAATTTTATCATTTGTTGCTCTGATAATCTTATTGGTATAATAAATTATTACTATAAAATAATCAAATTGAAAATATTGTTACATAATATTGCATTGGTTCTTACTTGTCTACTTGAGGATCGTATTCCTCAACAGTTTGTAAAAACGTTGATCCATCATAACCACCACAAGCATAGAGTTTACCATTCAATGTGGCCACTCCTAAACGACAACGTTTCATCAACATAGGTGTTACAGATAACCATTGCCCTGTATATGTGTCGTATCGCTCAACCTATTAAAAATAACAAACAATTATAAAAATTAAATGAAACTTTGTATTAATTAACTTACTGAGTCGAAAATACTAAGACCATCATGACCTCCTAAAATATAAATATAACCATCGAATGCTACCACACCACCAGCACTTCTATGTTTTTGCATTGGTGTAATGATTGTCCAACGATCCAAATCAGGTTGATAACATTCAACAATATTTAATGAACTAACTCCATCAAATCCTCCACATACATATAGCCGATCATTTAAAGCTGCTGCTCCAAGTGCACTAATATATTATAAAATATATTAAATTCTTTAAAGCCCAAATAATTTTTGAGTTTTATGTATAATCAATGAAATAACTGAATAATTAATATCAAGTTATAAACTCTAATAAAATTTTAAAGATAAAAAATAAATCAACGATTAAAAGTAATGACTAAAAGTGTAACACAACAAAAATAAACCTGCGCTTTCGATGCATTGGTGATATTATATTCCATGTTTTTGTAGTAGGATCAAACATTTCTACTGAAGATAATCTTTCAATGCCATTGTAACCACCAAATGCATATAGTTTACTGTTCAATACTGCCACTCCAACTCTACTACGTAAAATGCGCATAGCTTCAGCAAGTTCCCATCGTTCTGTTAGGGGATTGTAAACTTCAACAGTACTCAACGAATCACCTAAACATAACATATATAGTTTTAAATGATGATCTGATATTTTTCTTCATTTTATACTAATATGTATATATACCATACAGTGTATAAATTATTCAAATACTTAATGTTATCAATTGTATTATATACCTGATTTTGTTAGTCCACCAACAGCATAAATATGTCCACGAATATAACTGACACAACGAGGTCTTGTGCGGAAACTTTGTAATAACACTCTCCGTTCAGGCATTAAATGGTAATCTTTGGCTTCATCCAGTAGATCCCTAAATAATAAACAAATAGGTGCAATAAACAATTAAGTAATATAGGTATTTATAATCTATATATACAAAACATGTCCTGACTGACTGATTCATAACTTCCAACTTAAATTACTGGGCGGAATGGGCTAAAATTTGGCATACAGATAGGTTAGGTTAGGCTATTTTGACTTAAGTATCCCCCAAAGAGGGTAAAATATGGGTCTTTTAGGTATTTTTGATATTAATTTTTTAATTGTTTATTTTTGTTTATTTGTGGGTTACCTGAGTGACATGGATGACAATTAAGTTGTTACCGATAAGAAAATTAGGTTTTATTATTACTACTATTTACACTATTATCTAGCAATAGCTGAGCATTGCCGGGCATTGTAGAGCATAAACACAATATAGCAAAAACGGTAAAAGTATAACTTTATTAATGTAAAAAAATCATTAATAGTTGTTTAGAGCAGCAGTTCTTAGCCTGTAGCATAAAGAAATTTTTTGATAAATGAAAAAAAAAGTTATTAGTTATAATATAAATATATGTATTGCTGAAACAAGTGTATAGGTTGGGTGTAGGTTAGGTATAATGTACTTCATTTATCCATAAATTATAATACAAATAATAACTGTACATATTATAATTTTATTTTTGTGTATTAAATGCTTATGATTATACAGATTTGATAACAGAAATTGTATATAAAAAATGTCAAATGTGTAAATGGTAAATGGATATGAAAAAGTTAAGAACCACTGGTTTAGAGATTTGTTTGCATAATTATAATATATTATATTATGTCAATAAATTGTATAAATTATAATATATTATTAAACGCTACAAATGTAGGGTAGTCTGTACAAAAAAAGTAATAATAATAGCTGAGAAGCACATATGATATAAATGATTATATCATTCTGATAAATTGGCATATCTCAGTATCTCTTTAAATACAAATAATTTAGCTTTAGTAATGATTTTTAAAAATTAAACCTGCATTCATGTGATGATCTTATTAATTCTTCAGTGGCAACTCGATCTGCTAAGTAATGTGGTGAAAGTAATGGTAACCTTACAGCAGCAAGTAATTGAGGGAAACTTTCTTGTCTCAATTCTTCTTGTTTCACCCATCGCATAGTTGCTTCAAATACCTATACAAAAATACAAATATTTATTTCACCAAAAAATTATTATTTTAAAATGAGATACCATTCTGTAAACATGACTATTACTACCTTAACATAATTACAGCATATAATGGTGCATTCACTTTCGACACTCAAAAATATCAATAAGATATACATTTTTATACCCATTAAACATAGTACTAAAGTTATAAGTATAATAATAGTAAAAAAAAAAAAAAAAAGGAACAAATAATATGCACTATTTCTAGATACAGAAATAGAAAATAAAAGATTTAAAAATAAATAAATATAAGTGATCTCACGCCTGACAAAAGGTTAATGAGAGGGAATAGTATCCATGGGTATTTTATTGCTTATAGTCTGAGTGATTAAATGTAACAATTCAAACAATATGCCAACCCCTATAAGCACTTAAGTACCCGAAGCAAACGCACCCTATGTATGTCTGTTATCATAAAAAAAAATCCATTGATAATGCAAATTTAAATAACACAATGCTAGTGTATCAACCATAGATAATACATTATGTATTATCTATGGTATCAACAGAAATTATAATTCATAGTATACAAGAAATTATCATGAAATTGTATTTAGTTCCGTTTATGGAACTGTTTCTACAAAATAGACTTGTTAACAGAATACTACCAAATATAAAACTAACATTACTTGTTCTTCAGAAGCTTGTATTTCATCTTTTTTGACTACATCTATTATTTCATTTATATTGAGATTTAAGAAATCTTCAGACAATGATATATCAGAAAAATACTGATCTATATATCTATTAGCATCAGTTACTAAGCCGTAACAACCTAATGAATCTGCTAATGTACGCACTTTCAGAACATTATTTGGATGAAACCTGAAACATATTAGGTACTAACATAATATACACTGTAAAATGTAAAGATTCTCAATCAGTCTGTACATTCTAATAATCAAAATATAAAATATGGACATTTTATATTGCCAGAAAGATTGCAGAACTACTACTATACTTCATACTATACATTATAAACATACATAGTATAAAGTACAAAAACAATTCATAAATAATAATATTAAAAATATAAAGTTTAAAGAGATTTAAACATTTGTTAACGTCTTATGTTCCAAATAGGAGGGAAACATGGATTATTAATAAACTTTCGATCAGATGATTGTAGCATGACTGGGTATTAATATCTGGGGTGGTTTCTTAAAATTTTGGTTAGTAGGAGTGTTAAGAAATTAATTTTTTTATTTTCCTTTCCAATTTTTTTAATAATAAAAGAAAACCAGAAAATGAAAATATTTATGGAACAATAACAAAAAAATGATTCTAACAATAACTGTTTTTTTTTTTTAATTTCACAAATTAAAATAAACCTGACATTTTCTATAGATTAGTGTTGCAAGTTAAAACTTTCAAAATGTATTTAATTATTTAGCTTTATATTGTACACAATATATTTGTACTGTGCACCAATGTTGATAAGGTTACATTTAATTTATTTTTATACAATATTATGTATATGATAATAATACAAAAATATTGAAAATCCATAGGTAGACGTGATTTTTTTTTTCAAATAAGCATTAACATTAACTTAACTCATCACCAATCAACAAACATTATCCTACCTTTTATTTAGTATTTACATCATTTGTATGGTATGTTATAACAAAAGTATTCAAAGTCAAGGTTTATGTAAACGTTTGTAGCAAAGTTAAAAACAGTTTTTATACAATATTTAAAACTATCTTGAAATAAATATATATTTTTTTTTTTAATAAAAAAGTTCTTACAGTTAGTGTATATTTATAATTATTTTGAGAAATTACCTTTCTTTAATGAATGTTGCACAAGCATTTCGCACCCATTTCAGTTGCAAGAATGAGGCTCCGATTAAAAGTGACTGAACATTATTGACATTTATTGAAATACGACCACTATACGCAAAATTGATCAGTGATTCCAATGCTCTGTTAATTAAACAAAAAATGAAGGAAACAAAGTTCTTATTTTGTTTAAATTCATTAAGTCATTATAAGTAGTATATAGCAAAGGTGGTGTTGTAAGTGTAACAAGCACTCCCTTTGACAGTGTTTCTTTATTACAAATATCATATTACAATGTGGTTTGTTTTATAATAATTCTGAAAATAAATAATTAAATTGAAAATATCCAATTTTTAATTTAAAAAATTATTTGTAAATTTCATAAAATTAACACAAAGATTTCAAAAAAATCAGGGACACTGTTTTTCTCCTTTGACCAAGCTAATAAATTATAAATGAAATAATTAGATACTCCAATTTTTCAACATTTTATTTGTGTAAATATAATTGTTGATGCCAATAATAATAATACTGTTAATAATCTAACCAGACAAGCTTAGATGGTTTGCATTTTAGAGTAATTTGTATTTTTTGTATAAAAACATAATGTAAACAATAAGATAATAAATTAAAAACAAAATTATTAAAATAGTTAATACTCATCAATAAATATATAAATAAAAAATGTATATATAAAAATAAAACTAATTAATTAATGAATGTGTTGCCTGAAGTATTAGGGTAAGTGTATTGTACGACCGATTTTCAAATTAAAAATTCATCATCAGGTAAAATTACAAAGTCAAAAGTAAAACGCAACTAAATATGAAAAATAAAATAAAGAAAAATAAAGACAAAAAAAATTTTAAATTATAAAAATTGGTCATTTTACGTAGAATATAGAAATAATTTATTTTAATAGGAGAGATTAATTAAAATTAGTTTTAATTATACATAGATATGTTAAGAAATATAAATATATATATTATTATTTATTATCTAAAATGTATTTATATAAGATATTATTTTAGATTCTGAGTGGAGCAAAGAAGCTTATGGTTCTACAAAATGTTAAATTTTTTTATCTGTGCCCAACTTTTCTACCAGAAGACTAGCTCGGATTTCTACATGTAGTACCTTTTTTGAAAAGAAATCAGTATAGGGAGGTACTTTAAAAAAGACATTTTTCAATTTTCTCAGGAGTTTTCCCAGCAAATGAGAAAAAGGGGATAAAACATGAGAAAACTGGGAAAAACATAGGAAATTCGGTGCATTAAACAAATTTTATTAAAGAAAATATATAAAACCTATTTAATTATTTTACTATAAAATCATATATATATTGTTGACAAAGCATCACTATTAACTGAACTTCGCTCAGAATCTTGTTTTCGTAAGCAATAGTTTATCGTTGCTCACAGGTATATATTAAACTATCTATAACAGTATCTGCACCCATCCCCATTATCTTAGGTCTTTTTTAAAATCGGTTTGAACATTTAAAATATTATTAAAATGATTTTTCTTTATGTTCATGTAATTCTTCTAAAATTGAATTAATGTAAATGTTATTTGGATATTTATTATTTTTAAGTCTGTATTAATATCAAAACTTATATTATGGTTATTTTCCTTAACATGTTTAGCAAAATTTGAATTTGGGACAGTCTTTTTAAATTTTATTTTAGGAATGTGTTCTTTATATCTTATTTTAAAATTTCTATTTGTCTTACCTAAATACAATTTATTAAAGTTACATTTAAGTTTATATACACCAGCATTGTCAAAAGAAAGGGGGATTTTTTGTGAAGTTTTTAGTTCTATTACTCATATGTTTGATTAAATTATTATTAGTCTTAAAAGCGATTTTTACATTATTTGTTTTATTGTTCAGAATTTTAGTGAATTTTTTAGACATATTATTTTGATATTTCATACTACTATAGTTAACAATATTATTTGGTGAATTGTGTATTACTTTTTCTTTAATAAATTTATGATTTTTTTTAATAGTATTTAATTTGAAATTATTTCTATGGACTATATTGTAGATAATATTGAGCTCGTGTTGATAATTATGTTTATTTAATGAAATACGTTCAAACCTATAAAATATTAAATTAAAAAATTATATTTATTAGAATAAGGGTGATTAGAAACATGTGGTATTATAGCATCAGTTTGTGTAGGTTTCTTGTAAATACTAAAATCAAATATATTGTTTATTATGGAAACTGTAAGATCTAAGAAATGTATTATTTATTTGTATTTCGAGTGTAAATTGAATGTTTTTATTTATTTTGATAAGGTAGGTAACTAAATTTTCGGTTTGTCTATTTGAACCTTTAAATAAAATGAACAAGTCATCGACATATCTATAATATGCTTTTATACATGGATTGTATATTTGTTGTTAATCATATTATTGGTTTCATAATTTTGCATGTAAATTTCAGGTAAAAGAACACTTAGTAGGACTACCCATAACTAACCCATCTTTTTGTGAATATAATTTATTATATTGGAAAAAGTTTTAATAATTACATTAATTGATTTAATTTCTTGTAATACGTTGTATTAAATGTTTTATTATGTATCAGTTTATTATTTTAAAAATGTACTGTTTCATGTTTAGGAATGAATGTATATAAATATTTGACATCAAACGAAATCATTTTGTAACCTGGCTCAATATTAATTTTATTAATAAAATAATAAGTGTTTTTATAGAAGTATCAGTATTCATGTTTAATTTTTTTTTTATAAGAAAGTTTAAATATTTAGCAAGGTTATAAGCTAGATCAGTTTTGAAGTTAATCAATGGATGAATCGGATTATCTAGTTTATGTAGTTTTATTAATGGATGTAAGTGTGAAGCCTCTATTTTACAATCAGACTTTAATAATATTTTATTATTTTTTTTTTAATATGATCCAACTATAATTTACACTAAACAAATTAATTACAGTAAAAAAAAAAATATGATATTTTAAGTATGATTTCTTTCGAATTTGTTTTCAGTATACACTATTAGTATTAACCGGAAACCTACACCAACTGAATACCACATGATTCTAATCACTAGAGCTAGGATTTTGGTGACTTTTACATATTTTTTTTTTAAGTGCTATACAATTCTAACCATAAACTAAATTTGTTTCGTGATTTAACAATTTAGAATATGAAATTTTTATTTTGCATTTTTTGTGTTACATGCATTTTATTGCATTTTTACGTAATATTTGTAATATAACGTTCATTTTGTGTATTTTAACTAATTTATATTTATTTTAAGCTTTTTTAATATGTGTTGTAAAGGTAATCCCAATTACTACCTATAGGGAATTACCTACTCCAGTCCATTGATATTGAAAAAGTAATATGAGTAATTGTCGATTTATCTTATCGAATATAAACCTATATAGTAGCTTTAGTAGTGAATACGACACGCACCTATGTGGTTCTACACCGATCTTAGCTGTACACAATACTGAACAAATAATATTACGACTAATATTAAAACTATAAAAATTTTAAAAATGCCAAAAATTAAGTCAACAGTAGGAAGCCGTTTACGTAGTTTTGTACCAATATTTTTTTTACGGACAGTATGGTGCTTTTTTGTAAAGTTTGTAATGTTGCAGTTGCTTCCGAAAAGAAATTTACAATTCAACAACACATCCGTTGAGATAAGCATGCTCGTGGAATTCAATGAAAACTGAATGAAGTGAAACAAAATAATCAAGTACTATTATCTAATTTAACAAATAATAGTGATCAATCGTCATTTAATTTAGAGCTTAACATTTAGAGACTAAACATTATTAGCAGCTAATATTCCACATGCTAAATTAAATAACACAAATTTTAGACATTTTTTAAAAAAAAAATATAAAATTTAAAATCCCAGATGAGCCTACATTGCGTAAAAATTATGTTGAAAAATGCTATTTAAATACAATACGAAATATTAGACACTATGTAGGCGATAAAAAAATTTGAGTTAGTGCAGATGAAATGACAGATGTTGAAAGCCGTTTTGTAGTAAATATCGTTATTGGTAGCAGAAAATTCAGGAAAAATATTTTTGTTATATTCCGATGTCTTGGAAAAAACAAATCATTCAACCATTGCAAAAGCGTTTGATAAAGCTATGTTTACATTATGGCCTGAAAGAATAAAACACGATAATGCCCTCATTTTTGTATCTGATGCTGCCCTATATATGGTTAGAGCAGGAAGAGCCATTTGCACTGTATTCAAAAATGGTGCACGTAACTTGTGTGGCGCATGCAATTCATAGAGTTGCGTAAGAAATAAGATCAAATTTTCAAGTCAATAAACTTATAAGTTGCGTGAAAAAAATATTTTTAAAATCACCATATCGTATACAAATGTTTAAAACTCTTGCTCCAGGAATTCCATTGCCACCCGAACCCGTAATCACGCGATGGGAAACCTGGCTAAATGCTGTAAATTACTATTGTGAGAATTTTTCTTATGTAAAAAAAGTTGTACTTGAATTAAATCATGATGATTCGACTCCTAAAAAAGAAGCAAAAGAACTTATGTCTAAATCAAGTTTAGAGGCTAATCTAATTTATATAAAATCTAATTTTGGATTCATTCCTTCAGAAATAAAAAAGCTGGAGGCTTCTGTAATCTTATTATCAGAATCTATTAATAAAATAAAACAAATTGAGACTACATTGTTCCTTGCTCCTATTGTAATCGGAGAAACAATATCAAACAAACTGAAAAATGTTTTGATGAAAAATAATGAGTTCAAAGTTTTAAAAAATATATCTGCTGTTCTGGACAATGAAAATACAACAAGTAGAGATGGTATTCCGGAAGACCTAACTTAAAATGATATGGTTCATTTCAAATATGCCCCTGTTACTTCTGTGGACATTGAACGAAGTTTTTATTCATATAAAAACATTTTATCAGACTGCCGTCACAGCTTCCTGTTTGAAAATCTTAATAATCATCTAATTGTGCAATGCAATAATATGTGTACAGGTAAAAAAAAATATGATATATTTTTCATTAAATTATTTAAATTTATGATTTAATTGATTTTTTAGAATAATTATACCAGGAAGCGATTACATTCACAAGTCAAATTTATACCTATTTTGTTCATAATTATTAATTAATATTTTAAAAATAAATAAGTTTTTAGATCATTTTTACATTTTTTTTAGTGCATTTTTGTGTATTTTTTAGGTCATTAAAATCCTAGCTCTACTAATCACCCTTAATCTAATAAATATAATTTTTTAAATCAATATTCTATAGGTTTGAAAGTATTTCATTAAATAAACATAATTATCAACACAAGCTCAATATTATCTATAATATAATCCATAGAAATAATTTCAATTTAAATACTATTAAAAAAAAATCATAAATTTATTAAAGAAAAAGTAATACACAATTCACCAAATAATATTGTTAACTATTGTAGTATGAAATATCAAAATAATACGTCTAACAAATTCACTAAAATTCTGAACAATAAAATAAATAATGTAAAAATTTCTTATTAATTTACTATTTTTAAGATGTATACGTTTCAAAATTGTATGAAAAGAGAATATGTTTAATAAATGGACTTTAGCCGATCATAAATTTAAGTATTTTTGTTATTTATACTAATTTATTATATAGATTTTAATTTTAATATTTTAATAAACAATGCAATAACACCAGAGGCTTGATTTTAGTAAACTTATTCTAAAATGCTATATCGTAAATAAACATTTTATTTTTTGTCTATAGTAAGAAACATTACTATAGTTTTTAATATTATAATTTAAATATGATTGAAACAAAATATGCAAATGACTGTGAAACTTCCAATAATTTAACAAAAAACTGCGATAGCTATATACTAAATTTATTGCCAAAAGTAATTCTTACTCGGGATCAATTCCATGCATCACAATATCTTTTTTAGTGCTTTCGATCATATCATGTGTAAACATTGCGTTGAAATATGGTACAGTAGCTGCTAACACTATGCGATGGGCACTGAACGACATGTTTTCTACCTAAAAAAATTAAATTATTTCATTATAGGTAAAAACAGAACAATATTAGGTATCTAGGTAAGTCTAATAGGTTTACTTTCAATGTGACATCACACAGTTTGCCCATTCGTCGAATACCTTCAATCGCGGAGAAACTCTGTGAAAACAGATCTGCCTGATTGTAGACAAAGTACTCGTTCTCAATAGACGACGATTTCGGAAACGGTATTTTAATGGACGAATGCAATTTAACCGGATTGAACGTCATATTTTGATCGATTGTTACGGCTTCCATCTCGAAAAACATATCTACCTTCCTATCTACCTAGTTATTGATTATTTGCTCGGGGTTTATAATTTGAGTTTAAAATGTGTTGGACGTAAATCATCTTACACACAACGAAAACAATATATTAATAATATAGGAACACATAAAATTAATTAAGTACACAAACTAATCAACAAATTATTAAATAATGTAGTATTATTATTCAATTCGTCCGTAAGACTACAGCACAAAACAATACCGCATATGAGCAGACGCCATTGCAGACTAAGCGGTTGTGCGACTGCGTCCGTGTCCGTCTGTCTGTGTGTGTGACGCTCATGAATTTATATGACTCATATATTTTGTTGGTTATGTTTGGACAGCTGCGAACATCGTAACAAAGGATAAAAGGAGAATAATAAAATTATTATCGAAAAAGACGAAGGGCGCGCTTTACTCGAATATTCAAAGGCATTGTAAAGCATCGTTTTTTTTATATACCTACCTACATACTTATCCTATACAATTATTTATAACTAATCTGTATTCAAAAATAGTACCTAATCTACCAATCTACCTACTGTTATTATTGAGTAAAGCATGAAAATAAAATGTTCCATTTGATAAAATGATTTGTGTCACCAGGAAAGTCGGAAGTGGGGAGGACAGGCGGACAGGTTGCTCCTCATCTAAAACACAGAGGCAAATATATCATTTCGTCCACTTCATAATTAAAACTATGAATACCTACCTACAAAAACGATATTTAAATTCAATTTTTGCCACTTAATATTATTTATTAATCTCCTTGTAGATAAAAATATTTAATATTAAAAGCGTGTTAGTGCGTTACCAGTAACATTTGCTGTCTTTCTATAACTAAAGGGCAATCTATCTATAATGTTTTTTCGTATTTTTAATAATACCTACTCTGTAAGATCTAATGGACTTCAAACAAAAATTATTTCACCAAATTAAAGACTACGCTTTCACAGGAGAATTGTTTGATAGGTACATATCTATATCTCTATTTGCCGGTAATTGGTAATAAAGAATAACGAAAAAAATAACACGGAAAAAAGTTCAACAATTTTAAAATTTTATATTAATTTCTAATTCTAATTATTTATAAAAATTAAAAATAATGTTTATTATTTAATATAATTTTTAAAAATATTGAAATATAAAAATACATTTCTTATGAAAAATGTTGGTTTTTAATGGATTGTAGAAATTATGTGAAAAAAATGTATTTCCAAAAAAGTCAAAACTTTTCAAAATAATTAGTGATTGTAATAGATCTTTCATTCCTTTCATTCATTTAAATTACCTATGAAGACATTTTCATGCATTCATTCTATTATTTGAGTGAATTAAATTTAGTCGATCAAAAGTCAATAAATTATCAAAGTGTTCTAGTGCTATAATATAAATTATAATATATCAGTTTTTTTTTTTTGCCTTGAAAACGTAAATATAAGTTGTTTTTATAAAAATTACAAGTCTTTAAGAATATTTTTAACTGAATTAAAACAAAAACAAACAAAATTAGAATAATAAAACCATTATTTCCATACATTTTTCCGTTCGTTCTACTTTTTTTTCAATTTTACTAGATTATTAATATAATTACACGATAAAACTAAAAACGAGTTTCTCACTCACCAACTAGATTAAAAATGCAACATTAAAGGTCTTTTGTCATTTTTCGATTGGAGCAAGTTTTCTGGTAAAAAAGTCTGTATATAACAGAAAAACAAATTTTAAAAACCTATTATAGTAAAACCTAAATATCCCTTGCTACGCTACGAATCTAAATTAAAATCCAAACCAAAATTACCCTAAATAAATAACAATATTTTAACAGTTTTGAAAGCAATTACCAACACAATTAGTATCGATATTTTTTTAAGATTTATAATCGATTAGTATTTGATTTTATTTATTTATTAGGTTGTTAACATATTAAAATATTTCCAATTGGCCATTATACCATTATAATATTATACTTACTTAACCTAAAACAAGAATTTGATACCATCTGTGCTATTTATTTTACTAAAATTATAAATTTTTATTATGTATATTATGATCATTATAATTTTATCATTTTGGTTTTTTTCCGTTTACTAAAAATAATATTCAAGTGACAAATTATGTAGAATATCACGAGTGAAATTTTAGAGTGCTCGGCCTAAACTATACGATACATATACGAACATATACCATGTACCATGTTATGTTTACCATATAATTTGGAACTCAATAAAAGGTCTTCTGACAGTGCTCTGTCACGACAAATTATTTCTCATACCTATTGTGTTTTGTGAGATCTCCCCCATTATCTGTGATGGCCTATAGTTTTTCCTGCCGCACCCTGTTTATTATGTTTAATAAAACTTAATACAATACCCAATACATATGTATGTGTATAATTCAGTGAAGTTTCTTTATGGAGTTGACCACCCTTTTATTAGAGTACTAACATAGGGGTTAACCTGACCTTCAAATAACCTAACCATCAGCGTCCACCCTTTAGGCCAAAACATTAAGCCGGCTCTTATTGGCTGTTATTTAAGGGGAAACATTTAGGCAATTTCTAATCTTGTCATCTTCGTCTGTGATCTTTGATTAGTCGTAGATCATTAGTGTAAGCACGTTTCTATTTGTTAATCATTACCTAACACGTTGTTACACCAGGTAGTATAATAATATGATAGGTCGCAAATTTATTTTTGGGTTTATTACAATAATTCGCAGTGGCGTAAATTGGGTGGTGCAAATGTAGCAGTTGTACCATCACATTTCAAATTGTGAAAGTTTATATTTTTGCACCACCAGAAAATCATAAAAATGTGTAGATGTACCTATAGTTTCTATTTTCAAAAGTCTATATTTTTATTAAACAAGCACTTATCTATAGTTTTTCTTGAAATGTTATAATAATACAATTTTTACTATTAAAATAATTTAATACTTATAATGTATTAATTTTATTAAAACCAATTTGGTGCCTATAAAAAAATTAATTGTTTATTAGGTGGTAATTTATAAAGGAAGTTGTAGTATTGGTGGGATAAAAATTAAAAGATTTCTCTGCACCACCAGAATTTTAGGCCAATTTACACCAATGATAATTCAGATTATTATAATGGTCTGTTCCTATTCTATTATTGAATGGTCCGTAAATAAAAGTTTATCTATTTTGAATACTTATTAATATATTTGTATACAATAATAAATTAATGTTAAAACAGCTCTACTAGCATGTTCTCTTACTGATGGGACACGGAACTCTTATATACTAAAACTGCCATCAATGATGTATGACGATCTATAAGATCAATGGTAATAATATTATCTCATAATAAATTATAAAATTCATGCACATTTTTTTTTTCTGAGACCAATTAAGCCGTAGTTAGGATTAGCCGTTGTGAAATTATGTAGTAAAGTCTAAAAATAAGTCAATAAATAATAATCAAAAATATTAATCGTTTGTTCAATGGTTTATCGTTGATTACAAAAAAACATTGAATTTCCACTCTATTACTTTCCTAAATTCTCATCTACAACAATGGCTACACCCACGTGCGAAGTTGCCCGGCTTATTTTTCTTCAAATTAAAAATCGAAAAAAATTCTATCTTTTTCTGCCATAATAAACAATTAAATAGATATTTTAGTTTGCAAAACTATGATAATTATTTTTTACGAAAACAAGACGAAAAAATTAAGTATACAAAATATTATTTCTTTAACACTCAAAAGAAATAAGTGAAAACAAAATTATCTACATAATTGTTTTTACACTTCCAGAAGGGAAGGACACACCACTGGTCTACTGTTGTAGGTGCGCAATAATAATGCAAAATATAGTAGTTAATGTACTATATAGTATTATATAAAGTATATATAGTACTATATAAATATAGTATTTAATGTATAACAGTATATTGAAATCAACGGTACATCATTGCAAACAGAAAATAATAAGTTATAGGTAATAAAATAATAAAGTAAAAACAAAATTATTAAAATGGTTAATACTCGTGCATAAATATAGAAAAAAAAATATATAAATAAAAAAATATATACCTATATTAAAATAAATAAATAAATAAATGAATAAATATATTGCCTGGAGTTTTATAATAAGTGTATTTTACGACCCGTTTCGAATTGGAAATTCATCATCAGGTATGTCACAGACGAAATGTAAAACGCGACTGAATGTAAAAAATAAAATGAAGGGTTACATAGACAAAAAAAAAAAAAAATAAAAAATTATACAAATTGGGTCATTTTACATAAAATATGGAAATAATTTATTTTAATAGGAGAGATTATTTAAAATGGGTTATTATTAGACATAGATATGTTAAAAAATATAAATTATTTGGTTACTATTTATTATATAAAATGTATTTTAAAATAAGATATTATTTTTAAAATCATATTGAAATTATTTTTCTTTATTGCATTGTGTATGTGTAATTCTTCTAAAACTGAATTAATGTAAATATTATTTTGGGTATTTAATACCTTTAAGTCTGTATTAATTTCAAAACTTATATTATGGTTATTTTCCTTAACATGTTTAGCAAAGTTTGAATTTAGGACAGTCTTTTTAAATTTTATTTCAGAAATGTGTACTTTATATCTTTTTTTAAAATTTCTATTTGTCTTATCTATATACAATTTATTACAGTTACATTTAAGTTTATATATACCAGCATTGTCAAAAGAAAGGGGGATTTTTTGTGAAGTTTTTAGTTCTATTACTCATATGTTTGATTAAATTATTATTAGTCTTAAAAGCGATTTTTACATTATTTGTTTTATTTTTCAGAATTTTAGTGAATTTGTTAGATGTATTATTTTGATATTTCATACTACAATAGTTAACAACATTATTTGGTGAAGAAAAAATAATCACGAATTTTCGATTTCTGCGTGTGCATTTTGTTTTTGTGCGTTTTACGTTTACTGCGGCCATATTAAATATATTTAATGTCACAGTTTGAGACAAGCCACTCCAATTATTATTGTATATTTCTATCTATATACAAGTATCAGAGTATAAACGTCACCCCTGCAAATATAATGCGTATTATTTGTATCGCATATTAAAAGGATAGCGAGCATAGATTGCTGAGAGCAGTGGACCGCACCGTTAAGTATAATACGAGCGTGCTGTCTAAGGTCGTGGAGAATATTCCACTCCCGATATGCATTCGCGTTCCGGGACGCCGGTTTTTTCGTAATACGACAACGACGTGACGTGCGTACATGAGTATATACACGGAGGATATGGAGGTTTAATTGTCATTTTTTTTTTTAGTTTTATGTAAAAAAGACTTTTTTCTCCATTCATACTTATAACCTAAATCGATACATGTGATGACATTTTGAAGATTAAATTCCCTGCTTCTGACGAATCGTTCATTCACTGCAATATTTGTGCACATTGTTTTTGGGCTGAATTTTCCGTCCCGGAAGTGAAAATACCGCGATAATTCGTTGTAAAATGGGGAAATGGAACTCTGTTAGTTTTCAAAGTTTTTATGTGGAGTTTATTTTTAATATGCGAAGTATTCATACGGGTCCACTAGTATAATAATAACGTAGGTCGTAGGTATAATATTACAATAATATCATTATTTTTTGTGTTTCGTGGTGAATAAGGGATGAAAACCATCGCTGCCACCGCGTTCCGGATGAACGGGCAATTCGTATTTGAACGTCAACGGGCGGAGTCGACGAAACTGAAAATCGAGTTTAAATCGATCTCTGCGTCGCGGTGGCGTTACGCTATAGGTCGTCAGCGCAGCACACGAAGCACTCAAACCGCATAATTTGCACGGTATTTATCGTACGGCACACAGTGGCCGCCGCCAATGATAATAATCGTCCGGATAACCGAAGCCGTTACAGCAGCATTCTCACGGTGTTTGAAAACAAAACATATGACCTATAGTTATTTCCAAAAATTGTTGAGCAAAACCCATATTTCCGTAGGCGTGAAGTTCACAAAAGAAACCGTGGCATATCTATCATGGACGATGCATCCTGTATGAGAGGCCTAGCGACTATCATGACGTATAAAACACACGAAAAATATTTTCGAAAATTGTATTCCTTAAAACATTTTTTGAAACGAAAACTGTAATAATAATAATAATAATAACAATAAAATTAACATAAATATGTAGTAATATCATATGAGTATTTGTATTATTTATTATTCGAATATGATATTGTGTTAATTAAAATCTAATTAAAAACTAACGCTATCAACTATAGTTTTTACCATGTTGTTATTTAAAAGCCCAATATATTTCACACCATGGCTATATCACTGTTGAAGGTTTGGAAGGTATAGGATATAGGATAAACAATGAAAAATAATTGTTACCGAAAAAAAAAAAAATTGCTGACTTAATAAACTGGTAAGGTTATTTTTCACGGTTTTTCTCAATTATTTTGAAAACTGATTGGAAAATCAAAAAATTACCTCCTAAAATATCACCCAGGAAAATTTCCTTTCAGAAATTGTCCTACATTTCAAAATCGTAGCAAGAATTCTGGTAGAATTTTTATACACAGTATGGAAAAAAAAAAGTGATTTTCATACCAAAAATATATTCTAACACCGAATTTTTTTTGGTTGGAGGGTTTGGATTTCAGAGGAAGTGAAACTTAACCTAATCTATCGGGAGTGGAGATGGTCAATATGGTAATGTCAAGTTATGATGTGATATGTTATGATAACAAAATATCGATTCATTTTATATAATATGACGTGTACATATATTTAGATATATATATAGTTATTGATAAGATAATTTAATTTATAGTTTTATTAGGTACTGATAACTGATAATTACACTTATTGACTATTGTTGACGTCCCTATATTTGTTTTCGCATACCTACTTGACAATTGTACATAGTTTAATAGTAATTTATAGTTATGTTAACATTTAATAATGTGTGATCAATATTTGGAAATGTATTAAATAATATCTCTATACTATCAATGAACAAAAAAAATAAGGGGCAAAGGTAAGCTACCAAACGTGATTCTGAGGGTATTGGTTATCGCTACATTATTATTGACTTTCTTGTATTATTAGTTTATAGTATTTATTTTGGTAATAGTTTCTATTTTCGGGGAAAATTTGAAAAAACCTATAGAAACCTGATTACAGTTGTTGGTTAAAACTATGACTGAATTGTTTGTAAATATTCTATTGGTTAACAATAAACACAAAAATAACTGCGATAACGGTACAAAACTCAACGGTACCCACAGATATATGTTTGTATAATAATATATCTGTGATAGTCAATGGTGTATATAGAAATTAATTTTTTTTTGGGGGGAGGGGGTATAAAATAAGCTTTTGGGTTTTAGTTAATACATAGATGAAATAAATTCATAAATACATGTGTTGTACCAACCATAAATTTCGGGGGGGGGAGAGGTTGAACCCCACAACCATCCCCTATATACGCCACTGGTGACGGTACTGGTGATGAATAGTATCTATAAACCTTGAACAGTACCTACTACCTGCTATGATGGTGAAGAAGATGGTGGCGGTACATGCGTTGATTGCACTCACACTAATGTTTATTTACTTCTCACACACTGACACGACCCGCTTGTAACTGTCATAAAAGTTGCCTAATTCATACTCCTTAGAATCGATCACGCTCGAGCTCCCTTAAACGACACAATAGTGGGAAAATATTGTGGCAAGAGATCCTCTACTGCTGTCGGTTAAACGGGGGGGGGGATTACGAATACGATAACGGGTTATTTTCACTTCAGTAACATTAAAAAAAATGGGTATTGGTAAGTGCTGAAACACTTGAAGAGCGAGAAGGACGAGTTAAAAACTTTGACTGAGAGCCTCTACTTCAAGATCTGCGGAAACATGAATATCGAGTCACACGACGAAAAGCTGATCGGATCAAAATCTTCCCTTCAAGAGCAAAAATCGATTTAAAAAAAATAGTGTTCAATTACGATAAAGAATACGATTATAGTATTCATCGCGATATCTACCGAACGTGAACTACCCAATTTTGTTACCTATTTTGTTTTTTTTAAATGGTCACATGGGTAGGACAATAATACATACTAATCTAGCAATAGAAATATCCAGCAATAATATAATATATTATAGTTGTAATACGAGACAGTAAACAAAATATTATGAACAAACAGAAAAACACGTCACAATCGTAGCATACAAATAACGCGGAGTGTAAGCTGATAAGGGTAATGCATTTAAAATACATTGGTGAAATATTGTTTAGATGCTTTGGCAACAATATATATGTCATATTATGATAGAATAATAAAATAAGCATTATTTATATTCTTTAATAATATTTGTTTAATGCACCGATTTTCCTACGGTTTTTTTTTTGGTATTTCACATTTGATGAGAAAATCGAAAAATGACGTCTTTAAAGAACCTCCTTACTCCAATTTCTATTCAGAAAAGGTGTTACACTTAAAAATCGGAGCAAAATCTCTGATAAAAAAGTTTTCCACAGAAAAAAATAAAAATAAATTAACATATGTTGTAAAACTATAAGCTTCTTCGCTCCATTTAGAATCTAAAATACGTCATGTTTAATTTCGGAGGACTATTCGTGACGTAAATTAAGTAAAAAAGGGCAGTGTGTAATCAGCTTAAAAGCGCTTTTTTCATTTTAAAATACATTATACAATAATAGTGTAATATTGTTAGATACGAATATTTTCGTGACTCGGCTGCGAAACCCTTCCGCAAGTAAACCGTGCAAATGTTTTTTAATGAATTGACAAGTTTTAGTATTTAGTATTTTAGTATTTAATATCTATATACTATCAAGTACCATTTTAATATAAATTATACGTATTGTATGTAAACATGATTTTATATTGTAAAACATTGTTTAAAAATTAAAATTTGAACTATTTTTTGTTAAATTAGTTAATTTAGTTAATTTAGTTTGGTAACATTACAATTTAGAAACGGGAGGCAATTCAGCTCACCTCGATAAGATACATTTCTCAAACGGGAACCAATTCTATATGTGGACTATGGGTTCCGGAACCAATTCGGCACCAGCCTGTCATAAAATACAAATAGCACAGGGTAGCCGCTGTAGTTGCGAATTCATTCGCATTTGTGCGAACAGTCGGACGCCCGCGGTCGGGAACAATACGAAATAAAATTTTATCAGGACAATATTTTAGTCGGTTCGCCGGTGGCACTGGTTGGTGGCCGCGCACCACCGGCCGAGCCGACGCCCGAGCGCAGCGCGTCTAGCGGAGCCCCCCCTCATCACGGCCCACCACTTCGTCAAAGCCGGCGCGCTGAGTCGGTCATATTTTAACGTGTGGGTCGTCGTAGCTGGCGGTGTGTTGTCCCGTCGTATTTGTCGTCTACGTCGAAAGGCGTACGTTGCGTTGTTGGCATGGCGTCGCCGTACGAGGTGCCCCGCGAGTCCAGAGGGCCCGCGTTGGCCGCGGCCGGCGTCCGCCCGCGCGTGGACCGCGATGCGCTCGGTGAGGTGGACCCGGACCAGTATCCGCAGCCTAAAGACTCGACGAATCGAATACGAGGCAAGTCTGACCTGATCGAACTAATATTCGGTTCGGTCGACCAGGAACTGCTCACCGTCAAGACCTTCTATTTCTTCTTCTACTCGGCGTTCGGGTCACTGTTCCCGCTGATGGGCGTCTACTTTAAACAGATGGGCATGAACCCTAGCCAGTGCGGTCTGCTCATCGGGTCCCGGCCGTTCGTCGAATTTTTGGCCGCCCCGTTCTGGGGCGGTCTGGCCGACAGGTGAGGTGGCAGCAGAATGTTATGCATATAATAATAGTCTCCCTTATATTATTAATAATTTTTTTTTTTTTTGTCTATATTATACTAATATCTACATAATATATACATGGCTGCGCTGACAATTTGACGGAGTCGTGTTAAATTTCCCATGAAATATATTGCATACCTATGAATTTCGATCGATATAATAATATTAATTAGATTGTTGCGCGGTATAAATTCGGCGTTCATAAAATTATTCGCCCAAAACGACAACTACTGCAATATTATCATCATCTGTGTAATGCCCAAAACAGCAACGGTATATACATAGAGAGTGTATTACTGTAAGGTAACGGCGTGCCACCGCCGAGTTATGCAGCGCAAGAGCGACCCCGATCGATTTTTTACCCGTTCCCCCGCGCCATCACTCGACCCCGAGCGCGTACTCCCTCTCCCTCTCTACCAACCGTCCGCTACCAACGTCCCCAAAACATTTCGACCTCTCGAATTTCCCATACCGAGGTCGGAATTCGTCGTCACCGAGCCGTAAGACATCCGGACAGACGTCCGTCCAACAAGTGCTGAAACGTACGTCTTAACAAGAATAATAACTCGAATTATAATACGCCCGAAATTTAGGTTTTTTAGTGAATTTATTATTATATTGGCCTCGGGGAGATGGTCGTCGATTCAATTCCCCCCGGGCGGGAAGTTATCAGAATCCATCCGGCATCCGCGATCCATTACGGCCGTTCCTAAACCTATATAGCGGGTTCCTAAGGCTTCCTGAAGCGCGAGGATAGGTATAACTATACTCGACCTTTGAGTTACCACGAGCCATCAGCCAAGCCGATCTAAACCCCCTCAAAATTATAAAACTTCGCTAGGAACAGCCATCCTAACCACGGGTTAGTGGGAACGTGGGTTCCTGCGATGAGTAGCTCGGTTAAGTCTTTAAGACTGGTATAGCTCAATAAAACTCGTAGCTATCTGAAAAATTTGTCTACGCTGAGTTACGCGCTTTTACTGCCACTCACATGCGCCCCGTGCGTAACTGGGTCACACTCACACGCGTTTTCACGAGCGTATCCGCATAACACTAGCGCAGTCGGTTTAACTTCAACTCGGGTGTCGTTTCGTAAGCCTTTTTTGCTTACCCGCGAGATCAATAAAATCATCGGCCTAGTTTGGTAATAGTTTGACGACAAAGGACAATACGCGATATTGTTGTAATCTAGGAATGGATCAAATCGTTATGATTACTGTTTGTTTTGATCCATACTCGGTTTAAAACTACTTAGGTACCTACTTATAGCAGTAATAAAAGTGTGGTACACTTAATGAATTTAATGTATAAATATTTGTACACTTTTAACCACAAACAAGAAATTATTTATGGAATTATCTTATTTATTGCTTTGAGTTAGTAAATTCTTTTTTTTTCACCATCTAAAAAACTTACTAAGAATTAATTTTATGTATTTAACTGAGTAAATTATTATCAAATGCTTATACTAGTAAATAGCATAGTTAAGATGTTTTAAAAAAACTAAACTTATACATACTTTTTTAAATAAACAAATAAATAGTTATAATTTCTCAATGCTTAGAAATTATAGGAAACAAGGGAACTTCAAAAAGTATTTCTTATTTTCAGTCTGAACTCTAATAAATGTACAAGTTAATATATTAAAATAAACTTTATTTTATATATTTATTAGATTATATTATTTTTATTAAAATAAACTTAATAAATGTATAGAATTCTGAATCACATTTGAATTAATTAATCAAATACGTTTTGCTAATGCAGCTATGAATGTCCAAATCAATGGATGGTACGCAATTAGCATAGAATTAAAAGAATTATGCCAACCTTCAACCAAATTGTTCGTTGAATATCATTTTCTAACATTGAATAACAATAGCAAAGCTGGTTTTTTTAAATTAAGAGCAAAATCGGAATCATTCGAATATTTGGACTGTTAGACTGTATATGTCGCCAAATACTCTAAAATAAAAGAAAAAAAACAGCCTTTTATGTCGACTGAAAGAAATACACATTTTGCAGCATTTATTGCACCTTCTTCGAAATCAAGCATAATAGATTTTGGACTTAGTTGTGGATGTAAGGTTTTTAATACAAAAAAAATTCGTTTATAAGTCTCTTGTTTTTTATTTGGTTGTTAAATATATGCAATTAGTATATTATTTGAATAATTAACTCCGTGTACTGTATAAAGTTGATTAAAAATATGAAGTGAACACAAAAAAGTGCCATCCGCTAACCAATGTTCACATAGTTCCATTAACTTTAAATTAGATTTAGTCATAAAAATTAAAAAATCTATCATGATAAGCGTAGTAATTAACGCTATCATACTAAAAAAAGTCCCACCACTTGTTGTTTACCTGTATTAGTCTGGTATTTCAAGATCGTTTAGTGATTTTGAATCAGGTGGAGCACATGTTTTGATTTTTCGAATTCGTTGAATTGATTTAAACTCGGTAGTAGTCCTGTTGCGCTTTGTGTAATCTATAATAATAATAATAATAAAAATAATAATAGTAATAATAATAAAAATAATAATATGAATATGAATATGAATATATATATAGTAAAATTATGGTTGTACAAGTGTGTAATGAAACTTACTTCAGATGTTATAGTTCCTACGACATAGTGAGTTGTTAGTTGCGTATTTTTTGCTGGTTCCTTTTATTTTTCGATGATCACTTTTGCTTCAATTTTACCTAAGTTAGAAAGGTGATTACGGTTGTATGAAGAACAACTTCACCGAATTGTTGCAAATGTTCATGGAATTTTTTTGTGGTACATTTTAAATACCTCCAAATGATTTTATTTGTTGTCTCGCATTTTTTTGGAATAAGAAAGAATTACATTTTTATATTATTCGATCTTTTTGGTTGGTAATATATTGCATAGTGTTGTTTGCTGTGTTATATTATTAAACGAATACTAACATGTACAAGCGTTCGTACACGAAGTAAACAAAAATCTTGTAATCGTATTATTGCGATAATAAATAATATATATCGCAATAATAATGACGCACGAGATTATTGACGTGCGAAAAAGTGGCCGCGACAATTTATATTGCCGAAATAATTTGACGAGATACCTCTCACAGAAAAACCAAAACAGCTCTGTAGTTGTCTAGTTTTTTGTTTTCTAACAAAAAACCAAGTAGCTCCAGAACCATTATAATTTCCATACGGATAGTCGGATTGTTTTCGTTCTTCCACAGAAAATCTAATAAAAAATGTTTCTACTATTAATTATAATGATACGAATTTTTGCTAAAAATGCAGCTGTCTGGTTATTCTACAGAGCCCTTCGATTTGCTGCAAGCCCACAATGACCGTTTTGCCTTTAAGAACATTTTGGTACTTAGTTTATCGTACAGAGAGTAACATTTTTTTCCTTCTAGTTCTTCGTTTTGTTTATGTATTTTTCACAAAACTTTTATTTCGACGGTGAATATTTTTTTTCGTTTCCATGTTTGGTCTCCGTGTTAGTGAACCACGTCTCACATCACGCATGTATTAATATAATACCGGTTATAAATAACAAGTTTAACCAAGTTCTTTTTTATAGTTTTTGAAAATAATTTACAACTGAGATTTTTGGGTCTGGACAAAATAGGCTCTGTAGTACTTATTCTCAATTGTATTGCGTTTTACAGTCAATTATATGAAGTTATATTTTATTGTACACGGTAAAAGTATTTAGACTTTTCATTTCAATTTGTAAAATGTTTCAATCAATATCATCAATATCATTAAATCGATTTCATTATTTTTATTTTATTCGTTCGAAACATAATTTATTATATATTTATATCGAATGCTATTATTTATGCGTGTGTATAAAAAATAAAACATGTGTCAATAAAATAAATGTACGCGTATCGTACATTAATATTAATCGATACTTTCTTTTGTAAAAATACCTATAAAATATAAATATATAACAGTAAAGTTTTAGACGTATTCCGTAAAAGGAATTTATAATGTGCTTTTATGTCTGGAAAATGCTGAACTCTATGGAGTTATTCAATTACAGTAAAGTATCAGACAAGTAAAATGTACGGAGACTTTTGTATAAAATCAATACTTTTCTTGAAACGTGTGGAATTTTTAATATTCTTTATCGTCTGTATAATAATTGTATGCTGCACTCTACTAATACGTGTAATAAATTTTAATCGTTTGATAACATATAAAAAAAACGGTTCACAGCGCACCGAGCTTTGTCACTAGAAGTGGTTTTTTTAAAAAACGTTTGTTAATAATATTTTAACTCCCGCATATAGGGGCACAAAATATATAATATATATTATCTCTTATATAGATTGTTACGTGTCCTACTTAAATGACCTACTTTTATAATACTTTTTTAACTTTGATGGTGAGATGAACGTTAGATATATTGTTGTAGCTAATTTACTTTTTTTGGTTTTTATATTTTTAATAAAATGGTTTATAAATTCTTATGATTAGAATGTAAAAAAAAGCTGTCCTAGGATAATGAGGACGATTGCAGCCACTGTTATAGGTGAAAAGTTGGGAAGATAGCAAGGACAAATTTAATGTAAACCATTGCTTTCGAAAAAACGATACTGAGCGGAATTCGGTTAATAGCGTTCGTCAACAATATATATATCATATTATTCAATAATATTTGTTTAATATTGTGCCCATTTTCCCGTTTTACCCGGTTTTCCAATATTTTTTTCCCGGTTTTTTTCTTTGGTTGGAAAAATTCCTGGAAAAAATCAAAAAATGACTTCCTTAAAGTACCTCTCCAGTCCGATATCATTTAAGAAAAAGTGCTATCATAGTAAATCAGAGCAAATTTCTGGATTTATTATTGCAGTTTTGTATTGAACGTATTGCATATGCACATAATATAAATTTAGGAAATACTATCTCAAAAAATTCCTCCAATGAAAATATCAGTAGGAAAAAGTTTCCAATTAAAAACTAAAATATTAAACAAATGCATTAATACAATTTAAAAAGGAAGATAAAAAAGGGAGGGTTTAGACATTTAGTATTTTTCTTGGACATAAATACCATATAATATATCTCTAAAATATCGATTTTCTGAAAACTTTGTTTTATACTACGACAAATTCAATATCTATCTAATTATATGCAAACAATTTTTATACTCAAAATCTTGATCCGTTTATCAATTTCAGGAGTGTAATTTTTCAGATTTTCGTTTGTATATTTTGTCCATTTGATACATTGAGGTGTATTTTTTTATTGCTAGGAAATACGGATGCCTTTAAAATCGATATTTATATATTAGCTTTTTTAAAAGTGTTTCAATTTTCAAAATATTTTCGTACTTTTTTTTAGGTTTTTTGAGTTTGTTTAGTTTTTATTTGGTTTATATAAATAAAATTGTTTTTGCCCTGCAAAAATATAATGCAGGTCTATCATAAATTGTTTTTACAACACTGCATAAATATCGATCATCTTTAGTCACGGTTATTTTTAGATTTTGAATGAAGTGAGGAATGATGGATTGGTTTTACTACGATTTGTATTAAACAAATAAAAATTAAAATTAAGCGTAAAGAAGTAGTTTGGCTTTTATATAAGTGTTATAAGATTGAATTTTGAAGAAAATTGTAATAATTACGACATTTTAAAACAAGTAAAATCGAACAACATTCAGAGTCATTTTTTTGCTGGCAATGATTTATATTTACGTAGAGATATAAATTAAATAACTCTATGTATCTTACGAAGTACAAACACCCGCTATGAACTGCCTTATTTTTTAATTTTTGATATAAAGACGGTTGATAAAACATTTGTAAACGATAAAAATAGAGGGTGGGTTGGGGACTTATACTTTTATCTTATAAAATGTTATAAAATTCCAGAAACGAATTTGGTTTTTGACGCGTATTTTTATAGATTTATATTTAAGCAGGTACCTGCATAATAATACATTATTCAAGCGGATTTATTTTATGTTGTACAAAGTTTTCAATGAGTTACTATTCATGGTGGAAATAAAAATAAAAATTTCGATCAAAGAGGGGGGAGGGAGAATGTTACGCAAATCTATTAATCTCACTGAAAAGGATTTCTAATAGTCAATAAAAATATAAAATAAAATCGGAAACTGGTATCACATTTTGTCCAGTGTTGTTCAACCTAACTCATATTATATTAAATTGAAGGATACTTTTTAAAAATAAATTATTTTAACAATATATACGTTACGGGAAAGTTTTATGATGATGATACATGATGCTATAATAAAGATGAGTATTAACAAATGTTAACAAATGTAAAAGTTATTTATCGTCAACTTTTCCCCTTAACTAGACTTTATTATATACGTATTAGGTGATATATTTAATCATTCACATTTTATTTAATCGACTATTAGTTAAAGTTTAGGGCACAGTTATATTTTTCAAAAGTGGTGCAGTATATTATATTAACTTTGAATAGTATATTTCTCTTTTAAATTCTGAGTGGAGTAAAGAAGCTTATGATTTTACAAAGATATTTATTTTTTTATTTTTTTTGTCTATGAACAATTTTTTTACCAGAGATCTTGTTCCGATTTTTAAATGTAGCATTTTTTCTGAAAGGAAATCAGTGTGAGAAGGAATTTTAGGGAGCTCATTTTTCCAAGATTTCCCAAGAGTTTTCCCAGAAAATGTGAAAAATCGGGAAAAAACATGGGAAAAATGGAAAAATCAGTACAATATTAAACAAATATTATTAAAGAAAATGTATAATGACTATTTAATATAACATATACATTGTTGACAAAGCATCACTATCAACTAGATTTCGCTCAGAATCGTTTTTAGTAAGTTACAGTTTATCGTTGCTTACAGATACAAATTAATTTTCCTTCTATATCTAGCCTTGCTAAGTTCTCACCACTAATAGTTCCTATTATCCTAGGACAGCTTTTTTAAATTTAAATACGAATTCGTGGACAAAATAGTATCTAAAAGGGCCAATAATGGAACTGTTACAAAACAGTAAACATTCTGAGTAAATTTTTTTCCATTATAACTTTAAACTTAACGAATGAAATGTATTTCTTTCTGTTTTTGTTAAATTTTGACTATTAACTGAAGGTATTTTTGATTATTTGGATAACTCAATGAAATCAAATTAACTAAATGATTGTTGTTGTAATGGTTTCGCAGATGGCGCAAGGGGAAATTGTTGCTGTTGGCCTCGTTGTCGTGTTGGATAATTTTCACGTTGCCGTTGGGCTTCATACAACCGCCAGCTACCAGATGCATTGTAAAAAAAAACGACACCGTCTACATGTTGGAAACGCCCACGGGGTCTAGGTCCGTGTACAAACGGGATGTATCCTATGCGATGACGGACTTCGCCAAGTACGGTGAAGACGACAATGACTTGGAAGTGCCGGATTTGTCTACGCCCATAATTCGCCGCACCAGGGGCGCGCGCCCCCGGGCTACGGTCGGCCGGTCCCCGTTAGACGTCAAGTTTGCATACAATTATAACGAGAAAAAACACTACAACCTGGTCATGCCGATTTATAGTCACATCGTGTACACTATAGAAGTGAGTGGGACGTGGGATTACCGGATGATTTTCCGAATGATCGTTTAATGAAACCGAAAATCCCGAATCCTTTTTCTTAAAGGGTTAATTATTTTTTTATGAAAATTGGAAAAACCCTAAAGTTCATATTTTAATATTTTTGCATTATATTTTATATATAACTAACAAACAAATATTGTTTTGACGGCCTATAACAAATATATATATTTATATACATGGTACGGTCAATGTGGAATCCCGGGCAATGCGCACATTATCCGGGCAATTTGAACCACGAACATAAACAAGTTAATTAAACGATTTAAATAAGCGTATAACTTTTTTATACTATATTTATTATTAATTCTTATTATCCTTCACCTTCATCTCAACTATTTGGGGCTAATCACTCTTGTTCTAAACTTCTATATGACTCGATTTCCCATCTCACATACACCGAATGTCCTCATATCTTTCTCAGTCGCATACAACTACTTCTTTTTAATTTATTATTATTAATAATTATACAATATTTTGGACAAATTAATTAATATATTATTGTTTAGAATTTTATTATTACCTATTTATTTGTATATGATTTACATCATCCGAAAATAGTAATATTGTTGAGTATTTAAAGATTCAGTGATATGTTTAGTGATGTTAGTTATAGTAAATAGTAAAAAAAGAAGTGGTATATACGATTTTTAGGAGGTTATAATATTATTATATGTATAAACTATAGTATTTTTAATTATTGGTTTGAGGTTAAATAAATTGAACACTCAAAGGCTTAACTATACCATTCAAACATTTAATTCATTTTTTGTTCACTTTTTTATTTAATACTAAATAAACACTATATGAACTAAATAACGAATACAAATAAAAAGTGCAAAATAATAATATAACACTGTAATAGTTTAACTATGGGTTTGAATATCGAAAAGCTAATATTCACTTGAATTTTTAAAATAACTTTTTTGAAATACAATATTTTACTTTGAGAAAATGTCAATATTGACTTAGTAATATTTAATTGTTTTTAGGATATCGAGAAAGTGTTTTTCCTGTTATTGCTTTTGGTCATGATCGGAGAGTTCTTTAGCGCTCCCGCTATCACTTTGGCTGACTCAGCAGTCATTACGTTGCTGGGTACGGACGCCGACAAATACGGTCATCAAAGAATGTTCGGTTCGTTGGGCTGGGGCCTGGCCATGTTTTTCGTAGGAATAGCGCTGGATCATTCGACAGCGTTTCCGGATCATCCCTGTAATGGGCCACAGGATAGAGAAAAAAATTATACCATTTGTTTCGCTACGTTTTCAGTGCTTATGGGCGCTGCTCTGATTACCGCCACACAGATGAATTTCCGTTACGAAGAAACATCCGAAGTAGATCAGCCGTTAACGGCGATGGAAAAAGGACAAATGGCTCCGACAAGGGACGATTATCTCCAGCAGGAATTGGCACAACAACTCAACTTACCGTCCTTGGCACCGAACGTGGCGGGCTTACCTCCCAGGCCCCCCGAACTCCCGGAAGGCGAAGGAGAGGCGAGTTTAAAGGTTATTTGATATTGGGAACAAATCAATTAAATCATATTATTAACGTGTTTAAACTTCATTGAACGTATTGCAGACTAAGATTTTTGCACAAACCACAAAGAAAATCCCGGAATGGATTACGGTGTTGAAATATTTCGCAAATTTAAAGTGCGGATCGTTCTTGTTCGTGTCGTGGTTTATGGGATTCGGTATTGGGCTGATATTCACATTTTTGTTCTGGCATTTGCAAGTGAGTAGTGAAATCAGAGTAATTCTATGTACGGCTATCGCATTCACGACCAATTTTTTAGGACTACGGCGGTTCCCCGACGCTATTTGGTGTCGCTTCAGTCATCAATCACATCTCCGAAATATTTGCTTACTTTTTTAGTTTCAAACTGATCCGTCAGATGGGACACGTCAAAGTAAGCGTATTCTACATCTATACGACTATAATCATTATACCAATGTAGTTTATCTTCCATTTTTATATTTATCGTATTTTAATAGGTGTTGTGTTTGGGACTCGTTGGCAACATACTGCGTTTCTTGTATATCTCTTGGTTGACGAACCCGTGGTGGGTGTTACCGTTCGAGTTTATGCAAGGTAATATTAATTATTACACCAACGGATGAACACAATTATGTTTACAAAACTCATAATTACTGAGTGGTGTTATTGTATTGTGCTCGTTTTTTTCGATTACAGGTATAACACACGCGGCTGTCTGGGCGGCATGCTGTTCGTACATAGCTCATAATACACCGCAACAGTTACGCAGCTCTGCTCAAGGCGTGTTACAGGGTATCCACCACGGTCTGGGTAGAGGATGCGGTGCAGTTATTGGCGGGTGGTTTGTCACGTACTTCGGTAGGTATCTGTTTACCGTCTCGAAGGGCACAGGGTGTATCTTCATATGACGATTTTCTACATTTAATTCTTCGGATCATTCATTCTGACGATACACCTTTTGTTCGTTCAACAAGCAATTTAATTTTTCCCTTCGAACGTTCGTTTTCGCAGGTACCACGACTACGTTTAGAGGATACGGATTCGTTTGTGCTTTGGTTTTGGGGGCATTTATTTTCATCAATTTCTACAGAAAGGACACCGGATTCGTATCGGAACTACCCGTCGCCGAAGATCCACATCAGGTGACCAGTATTTTTATTTGACTTGCCGTATTATTGTTAATTTGTGATTAAAATCATTGATTGAAGAATGTAAAACTGGGTTAGTAACTAATACTAGTTTTGGTTTTGATACCAAAACTAATATTAGACTATCAAACAACAACGGTTATAAATTATTTGTAAAAAAAAAAAAGTTGAACAACGAACATAAAATACAATTATAAAAAAAAAATATTTCTTATTTTTCTTTTTTATATAGTAGCATACCGTATACAATGCTCTTATGTTAGTTTATCAACTTTTATTTTTATTATAAATTATTTATCAATTTTATTTGAATGCTATTGGAATAATTCCGAAAAGTAGTAGTTATCCTATAAATTAAATCAATGGTTTTAAATTTCAATTATAATATTTGTTTATTAATTATTTTTTATTTATTGCAATAATAATACACACACGAAACCGATAATCTGTTTGATATTATTCCCTTTCTTATAGAATGTCGCATAATATTATTATCAAATAATTATTAATATATAGTTATAGTTTGATAATTGTTATGGAAGAAAACACAAGAGAAAATTATACAGCTATCAATAATAATATTGTGATGACCGGGAATGTGTGAGTTCGACATTGACAAAATGACAGCTCGAACTAGATCGCGCGACACATACCTACTATATGTAATTTATTGATTAATCGTTGTTTACTTTGACAATTATTGTTTTGGTACTTAAGATACGCATTTATAATACAATACATTTAACTGGTTCTTAGTAATTTCGGAAATCATTTCATTGTAGAACGTTTATATGTAACGAGTATTTTTAATTGAGAAAATAAGGATATCCTAATAAAAACACAAAAATCAATGGATAAGCATAATATTATTTGGAATAGACCAATATTCTGAAAAACTACCCCGGTTTTTAAGTCTTTTATACAAACGATTACTGCATACATTGCAACATTGCAGTATATACGAAATTCTAAGGAGTGTGTCTAACATTTTAAAATGTTTTTATATATTTATAGGTGGCCGAAGAAACGGCTCATCTAGCACCACATGGAGTACCTAGTAACCCGTTGCCGAGGGGTTTATCGAGTAACAAACTACAAGATTTGGCAACCGAAAATCATGGGTACGGAGCCACACACACATCTGGCGGCAACCTGAACATACCACAAGGTAAGATAATATTATTATTATAGCACTTTAACAGTATCGTCGAATGAAATAATGTTCGTTGTGATGTGTGTTTCAATAGGCGCAACAAATCCGTTCAGACAAAATAACGGTTATCAACAACCTATTAACCACGGCAAGGTGTATACGGATGACTGTATACAAAAACAATACACGGTACTAGATCAAAAATTATTATTATTACTTACTTAACCCAACATTTGTAAATACAATATCACATTAATTGCACGTGATTCTATGATACATTTATTTTTTAAGAATAAATCGTAAAAACCTGACGTAAATAAAGAACTAAAGCGGTTTAATATTCGATAACCTTATACTTACATTCTTTGAAAAAGGTACATACATGAATAAGTTCTGAAATTTAAATATTTCCAAAAATGCTCGGTGTCCGAAAAACTACATATTGTATCAATTTATAAACTATTTTTAAAAAACTAAAATCTACGATACTTTAAACTTAATTAGTCACTACAGTGGGGCTATAGATCAATAGTGGATTTATAGGTGGCACAGAGTGCCCTCTTTATTGGCTTAGCGTCTAGGATAATAGACTAGGTCTTTTTTTTTAAAAGTTGTGACGCAAAGTTTATAATAAGTTACAAAGTTTAAAAAAAAAAAAAATTATAATAAAGGTCTTGACGATTCCATATTGATAAATACCTGTATGTTATGAAAATCGGGGTGGATTATAAAATAAATAATTTGAAAAAATTGGGTCCCTAAAACAAAAACCTAGGTCCGTCAGTGATTGTATAAGAAAATCTTATTTGAATTGTGGATAGCATAAATATACCGTGGCTGGACTGTTAAAACAACTCAATGTGTTATTTAGATAAGTATACCCACCAGGGCATAATTATCAGAAAGTATTCCCACCAGATTACTTACTCACATTTTTATCGAATTTGCATGTATAATGCGTCCGGTAGTTTTTGTACGCAAAATGAAACATACGATTGTTGACATTTAATGATGATTTTTCAGATGTGCAATGATTTACAGAAACACTCTATAACATCGGAATTGATGAGCCCAGAACCGATGAAAAGAAAATCACCATTATATCAATGGTAACAACAGCCACAGTAATGCTCGACTCTATTACACACGATTTTTCTCCATTTTGTTCTTTTGGCGACCGTCGAAGAACGAATTTCTTTTCTTAATAATGTTATTGATATTGATACGACGAGGAGCAACGAGGCGTTGTTTTTTTGCGTGTTTTTTTTTTTAGTACCTATATATCTACCTATACCTAACATATATTATTATTATTATATACGAAACATATTTGTTATTTTACGATTAGTGAAACTTATTAGCAATAATAATAGTACTAATAATAATACCTATATAATACATATTATGATATAACAATAAAATAAAATATAAAACGTAACTTTTACTTATTATTATATTGATAGGTATATTATTATTATACATATATATATATATATAGACTATAGCGAAAACATAATATTATATTGTCTTTGGTGATTTTTTTTTTTGCCAGTTTGATTCCTATATAATTGCATAATATACCTAACCTATAATATAGTATTATAATATATTGTCGACGAAAGTATTATTGTTAATGTATATGGACAAAGGATTGCGATTTCCGTTACACCGGAAACGAAGTTTTTGAAATGTACACGCAGCTTTTGTGATATACGATTCATCTCGTATATTGTTCATGTTGTGTTGAAAGTATAATAATTTAATTTATATTTATTATTTGCACGAATTTATTTGAGTCATATCAGATGTTATCATAATAATATACATATATGAAGTTTGCACGATTTATTTGGAATAATTATTATAAATTTGTTAACACGTCGCGAGTTTCGACTTATCATAGACTAGATCCATCTACTTAAGGTAAATAATAATTAGTTTGCTATATTATTATATATTGATTTGTACATGAATGTTATTATGTGTGATGAACCAACCGAAATAGTATTTAACAATATTGATCGCAAAATCGACACATATAATGAAAAATAATTAAATTCGAGAAATTGTTTTTTCTTTCATTTTTCGTATAGACATATTATTACATTATTATAGATACATTATAAACATGTTTCGTTAATACACGAGTACATTTTTATTAATTAGTAGTATAAATATAATATTATAATTATTCGAAATTCGAACGAAATTTTCTCAATTGAACTAGAACACAGTATGTCAATAAACTCTCTGTGGTATTACAGGTGCATTATTGACGGAACTATCCCAAATATTTTGGGGATCAGAAGACACCACAATATTGGTTATAATATAACCTTAGTATTTACTTGATAAGGATTTGGGCGGGGAAACTAAATCAACCCCAAATCAAAATTTGAGCCAATGTACGCGTAACATTTTGACCACCCTTATATCATTATTATTATTATTATTGTTGTTATAATTTCTGTTTATAAAATATTCAACTATATTTAACAGCGCAATAGTAATAATAGTAATAATAATAATATAGATTTTGTCCATTTACTGTCAAGTTATAATATTATAGAAAGGGGAATACAGTTTTAATAGTTTAAGTATAATATTGTATGCAAATATTGATTATTTGTATACACATACATGATTTAAATACATAATACGATCGTATTGTTACCACAACAGACCTTTTAATTATAATTTTTTTTTTATAAATATTGTCGAATTGTTGATTTACTAACAACATGCAGTTAATTGTATTCCTGATTATTATTATAATAACATTTTAACTAATGTATACATGTATCGAATGTTTAAATATATTATATTATAATAATTTATCGAAATTTTAAGCGAAACTACGATGATTACCATCTGTAATATTGCTACATATTATTATTATTATCAAAATATGTATTCAAATCCATCTTGTCAAATAACGATAATAATAAATAAACAGTAATATAATTATTATGCGTCTTGTTTTATTGCGAAAATCGTTTTGTGTTTTTATACATTTTTTTAATTTCAAAAAAAAAAAGACTTGCATAGTAAAAATAATTAGACTTCGCTCTTAGTTTAAAATATTAAGTAATTTTTTTTTCGTAATATTGAAACTAATAAAATTGGTTTAAAAAACCTTCAAGTGCCATTATATTTGTGTAGGTAAAATATAATGGATACTTAAGTATCAGAAAATGTGGTTCCATTTGTTTGGCTACAATAAACTTTGTGCAATCTCGTAAAATGATTTTGTTGCTAGTTTATTTTGGATTAGTTAACTATTGTGTATTCCAAGTTTATATAATTAAGAAATTGAGTACGTACCTAATGGCAATACCTATTTACGTATAAACGTAAACCATTATAGATTTAGATTCTGAATTGTAACTCAATTTCATGAAATTTCGTAGTGATAATACGACTTATAAATAATATAATAATACGTATACTCCCCAGTGATTGTGAGGCTAGTGTATAATTTGTTGAAATGGGCAATCGCCTGAGGTAAAATATGGCTAATAATTTCAAATACAGTTTATGAAATTAATAATGTACATTAGGGATGGACTGATCCGGCTTGCTAGTGGTCCGTAGCACACTGAGTCGCTGTAAAATATGTCTCATTTAAATTTTTTGTGTAAATTGTGACCCGGGTATATTTTATACATACGTAAATTGCGGCCTGGGTGTATTTTATATATATATGCCTAAATAATTTTTATTCCCACGTATATTACGTCTAAGATTTTTTTTGCAAAATCAATATCTTCCTACCAATTTTTCAGACTTAATAACAATTAGTATTAAAGTATATTAGTTAAAAATGTGTAAGATTAAAAATATATAAGTAGAAATGTGTATCATTAAAATACGTATCCTATTATTTAAAAATTATAATTAAGAAACTGATAAAAATTTGTAAGATAATGTATTTTTTTTATTTAAATACAAACTAACGTTATAAAAAGCGAAAGGAATAAAACGTTACAAATGGTTGATGAATTAAAATTTTGCTTTCATAAATTATTAATGATATATAATAATATATAATAAATATATTACCATTCCTAAGTCTGAAAAATGGGAAGGAAAATATTGATTTTGCAAAAAAAGTCTTAGACGTAATTTACGTGTGAATAAAAATTATTTAGGCATATAATATAACACAAAATATTTCCAGGCCGCAATTCACGTATGTATAAAATGTACCCGAGCCGCAATTTACATAGTATATGACTATGACCTTTTTTTGGATATACAATTTACTGACTCCGAGTACATCAGGCTGACTCAATATATGGGTCGGAGGCAGCTGAACATTTGATGATATAACTAATAAATATATATTAAATATTAAACAGTTTAAAAACCACTGCTATTGATTGGTACGATAAGTTCATAATTATAGATGTTATAGATACATTTCATACAGAAATGTTTTAATGCATTGTTGATTAACCAATTAGCAGCTTGACAAATCGTTTTTTAACTTATAGTAATACACGTATTATAGGAGATATTTCATACTTAATTTCAAAAATTTATACAAATCAGTTCTATCCAGAAAAAATCTTTAATCACTTTATCCGATTTGGTTGATATTGACCGCCGAAAGTAATTTTTAAACTACAATCATTTGCAAATAATTATAAATGTATTGTAAACTCGTTGAATAAGAGAGTAGGAAATATTTATGAAAAGCTTGAAGTTAATATTAAAAGTGATGACTATAATAATAATCAGTTAATTTTAGATTAAATGCACCTACCTTACTTAAAACAACAAAAGTATCAGAAGTGACTTACTGGCTTTTTTATTTTGCTCTAATTGAAATAAATAATTAATATTTTGGGTAAATATTGTAATTACTGTTATTTTATTTATTTAATACGGGCGTGACCCAAAGTACAGTAGTAACACAAGAAATTAACATGCAGACAATTCAACGGAAGTGAAAAACGGAACCAGGTATTTAGGTATTGGTGGTATTTATTAACCAGATATTAGTGTAAAAAGGGTGAACGTTAGTAAGGCGCAGTTGTAATTACAATAAGATATTTAGTATATTTTCAGAGGTCCTACACTCCTATAAGCTACAATAGACGGACGAGTAGGTATATTATATATAACTATCTGAAAAAGTAGGTATTCATAGAAAAACAATATATTTTTATGAACTAAATAGATAATAAAGATGCTGTATAAGTGGGTTTGGATTGTTTATTGTTGTAAAATACTGGGCCGTTTACCTCCCAGTCCACCCCTAAGGTACGTACTGAAAAATTCAACAAAAGTTGTTTATTGTGTTTATAATATTAACATATTGTGGTGTGTATGTTAGAATTGGGATTTATTCAAATGTAGTAAAATACAAATGTATTGAACCAATTATTTCTCTACGGATCAGTGAACTAATTTTTTTTAGAAGCGGTTAAAAATTTGATTTTCTCGCAAATTGAATATCATTCAGCAAAATATCGTGTACATCTAATTCATTTTATAATCCCTTCCCTGAATCATTATAAAACATTTTTGAAAATAGGTGAGTATTTACAGAGTGCAAAGCTGAAATTATTAGAGACATTATTTTGGTAAACATGTAATGTACTGAAAAAATATTAGTTTCTTTTTTTCTTTAAATTTTAAATTGCAATATTTATGTTAGTTAAAATAATAATATTAAAAATTTGTTTATCAGTTATTAATAAGTGACACCGAATATTTACGAATATTTTTGTAAAGAAAAGAAAAAGATCATTATCAAATCAATCCCAGTCAACTAACTGATAGCAAGCTTGATTGATTAGGCTCTGCGCCTTTGCGTATAATAACTCAAACAGTAAGTATGGGCAAATGTTTGTTTTAGCATCCTTCACAAATTATTATTGTTGTATTGAAATTGGACAATTGTCCGGGAAATATATAAATAAATAAGTGCTTTAAGTTTATTTTATAGATGACCAGAAAGAATTTGTTAAATCGAATGTTAATTTATTGTTTAAAATTGTATACCAGTTCATCGACATTTTTTCATCTGATTTATGCATTTTGTTAATATATTATTTCGATTACTTATTATATTTGTATACTAGTTGTTCTGCGCCTGGCGTTGCCCGTGCCAATTTTTGTTATTATTTTTTTACCCATATTCGTTTTTGGTTTCGACCGTGTCGGAATTGAATGAAAACAAGTGATATAAGTGAAATAAATGAAAATAAGTGCAAGGTGGGGTGGACTAAATGTACTCTATTGTGAAATGTTAATAGTGTAATAAATAGTAACAATTATAATTATAATATTTTTCTTATGCGTAACAACTAAATTATTATCCGTATCACCAAGGTAACCCTTGAACAAATAAAAATAAATAAACAATTAGATAATTGTACCGAATATACTTGAAAATCCTTATTTTACCCCCTTAGGGGTTTAATTTTCAAAAATCATTTCTTAGCGGATGCCTACGTCATAATAGTTGTGTGACAAATTTTAGCCTGATCTGTCCATTAGTTTGGACTAGGCGATGACGAATAAGTCAGGACAAATTATTTTACATATTTAGATTAGAGAGATAACCATCACCTTTGTCTTTTAGTTTGTTTAAATGTTCATATAGGTATAAGTAATAATAAAAACATACTCAAATAATATAATTTTGTTTTCAATTTTAGCCTTTCGCTTTCTGCTATGTAGCGATTGAACTTACACTGACTACTAACTAGGTATAATACCCCTACGTTATATATTTCATTACTGTGTACTGTGAGTGGTATAATCAAATAAATATCAGATTATAACGGTTATCATGTGCTTATATATAAATTATAATAAAATTATACTCGTACTTTCACAGTATCGTATCTTTAATAATTCGATTAATATCGTTTCCTTTGATGGTATATTATACGGTATAGGTACTTAATATTGAACACTGCAATTATTATAATTTCTTTGTTCTCGACTGCAGTGAGGGCACATTATGATACGAGGTCTTTTATACGTATGTGAGTCTCTTTATTCTACCTAGAGCCATTTGGCGCCCAGGGACATTAATTTTTAAGTGATCTCCACTTTAGGCTTTCTGTGAGGATGATTTGGTAGACTTACTCCCATTGGTTTTTTTTTTACACTTTTATTAAATTTATATTCAAATTCAAATAAATAAGATTCTTCCTTACTCCTGATTTTTTGTCTAAGTACATATTATATTGCGTTACTATGTTGTACTGCTGCTATCCTAATTATACCAAACAATATTTATTATTACTCTAAGAAATTTTTTAAAAAATAAAACAATGATATAACCCCTTAACACGACCCTTATATCACTATAAATCTTAAATGCCTGAACCAATTTAGATATATGTGGCACCGGTAGAAACGTTATGGTATCCGATCCCTAAGTAACATAGGAGCTAGGTGACATCTTAAAAAATATTAAAAATAATCAAAAACGTATATTATATGACTGTACCATCAGTTATGCACGCTAGAAAAAGGCCCTCGCGTGCTGTAAATACTTTGGCACAGTAGCATTTATAAGGCGTACCATCAGCTGATCGGTTAAGGATTCGGGAAATCGACCACATTAATTCATTTTTGCATTATTTTATAAAAACTTTTTACACAATAGTATACTTTTTAAACGTTAAAATCCACATTTGTCTGTAAAGATATATCCCAAAAACAACTATTTTTGAGGTCTTAATATTAATTGAATACATATGCAAAACAAAAAAATCCCCAATTGCATAAAAAAAAAAACCAATCATCCAAAACTCAATTGCGGAAAAGGTGAACGAAATAGTAGAAATAATGTGAAATAGAAAAATGAAAGGTGATAGAAACGCAGCTGTGGGCTGATACCTCCGACTGCAAGTTATTATTCAAGATCGTGTGTATCACAATATCAGTCCACGATTGCCATCAAATTTCATTTTTTTGTTTCTTAATACGAGTACTTTAA